AATGCATACAAAATGAGAAATGATAATGAACAGTTGTAAAATAACCTGTTAACCACAGGTTAACAATTAATTTGAAGTCTATACATCAGCACAGTAATCACGTTTATAACTATTTTTTGGCGTAGCGATCCGCTATTGTTGGCATCATTAACATATACGTAGCATGGAATATTCATTATAGTTCAAGTAATATATCAAACATGAGACGCAGTGTTTCATCACCAGATGAAACACCGAGAAGAGAGTTGAAAATACGACGCGCAGCGGAGTATTTTTGATGAACTTCGAGGTGTTTCATCTGGTGATGAAACACTGTGTCGAATGTTTGATATTTCTTCTCAAACAAAATCATTTTTGAAGGAGAAATTAAGGATGCAAATACTGAGCAGTTTTTCATCCGATTTCCAAACACTCATTAAACATTAATTTTCTTTGTATTTTCTTTATGAATTATTAATGAGTTTGAGAAGTAAAAATGAAATGAGCTAAATAAATGAAATAACAGATACGAGTGTGAGTTTCATTTCCATGGTCCCACTCGACTCAGTCTAAAGTTCAAGAAAGTAATCTAGTAGAGCACAAACAAAACATTTTTTTTTTTCCCAGGAGCCCTGAGTTTTAAACGGAAAAATCTTGGTCATTTCATACAGCGGAAAGCGCAAAATGATAATTGTCTTTTGCCGTATATGAGCTTCTTAATTACTCTTGTTGTTATTTATAGGCTTTGATAGTTTGTGCTAGCTTAAGTTAACTCGGCATAATTCATCATTACAGGCATAATTTTGATATATATTTAAAAAAAAAAAAGCACCGCCAGCAGAAGTTGCACTCTTGCCAGAAAAATGGCATTCATAAAGGGAGCTGTGTCAAGAAATTCAGCCAAGTTAGGTAATTACAAATTATGCCCGTTAAATTAAGAGAAACGTAAAAATACCGTTTAAAACATGAAAGGACGGTTAAAATAACACAGCAGAAACAACAGATGCCACGGATGGGCAAAACTGAAAAGATTGAAACGGATTAAAAAACTGTTCAGCCTAACAATTTTTAAAAGCTGATCCCTGCTGCTTGCAACTTCAAAAATAATGCTCTGGCGACATATTTCTTTGTCTTGTATCTCTGATTTTGTCACTTACCTGTAATTTCTTTGAATTGCTTACTTTAAGTTCCATAGCGATTGACGGCGAGTAATTGGCAAAATTAAACAAAATGAACTGGACTGCCGTGACACAGCCCCTTTAAGCATGCAACCAATCGAATTTGGCCCGAGAGAAGTGTTCACAACTTCACGTCGATTTAAGTGTGTACCCCAAATTTTGGGGTCATCAAGTATTCATATATTCAGGCTATTGTTCTTGTCATCGCCGATTACCTTACGAAGAATCCACGAGCGGAATTCCTTTTATTCAGGTGCGATATCTTTCTTTTTTTTCAAATTTTGTTGCTTGATTGACTTTTTAATCCCCATTGTTACTTGATGAGTATCAAATTTCTCCATTAAATACTTGGACTTGCCTCTTAGATTTGCGGCATTTGCGGGATTGCTTACAAGTCTTCTAAGCGTAGCGGCGAACTCTGGTTGCGGTAACATATTTTCGGTCACGCAGGCTATTACAAAGTAGACAAGCCGGATAAACGTGAAGTTGATTAAAGCTTATACATACCTGATGTCCAGTGGTATTTATTTATTCGATACTCCCTTGTCTTGAAAATAATTTCGCGTTTAAACCTTTTCTGTGGAAGGTATTTATTAGTACTTTTTATTCATTCGATAATCAAAAACTGCGCTCTGCTATTACGAGCGAACAACTCGCTTCAAAATGTAATCAACGGAAGCGGTGAACGTATTTAACGAATGACAAAGATTCATTAGAGTGTAATTTCACTTTTTTACGTTTTCGCTCAACTTTCAGTTTTTTGTGTGTTAAACGAAACCTTGCATTTTAGTTACGTGACTGCAAGGGCCGAAATAACCGCGTATGGTCTAACCTGAGATCAGGCTCTATTTTCGTTTCGCTTTGAAAATTACATTCCGGCGGGCATGGCGAAACGAAAAGAGAGCCTGGTCAGTAGTTCATGTATGACCCCATGAAATGTCCTGAGGTACCGGTGGCATGTCGGGCCTCTAGGCACAGAAGTAGTAGTAAGTGTAGTAAGTGTAGTAGCTGTAGTACCTGTAGTAGGTGTAGAAAGTGTAGTAGGTGTGGTAAGTGTAGTAGCTGTAGTAAGTGTAGTAAATGTAGTAACTACACTTACCACAGCTACTACACTTACTACACTTACCACACCTCCTACACTTACTACACTTACTACAGATACTACAGCCACTACACTTACTACACCTACTACAGCTACTACAGATACTACACTTACTACACCTCCTACACTTACTACACTTACTACAGATACTACAGCCACTACACTTACTACACCTACTACAGCTACTACAGATACTACACTTACTACACTTACTACAGCTACTACAGCTACTACACTTACTACAGATACTACACTTACTACACTTACTACAGATACTACACTTACTACACCTACTACAGCTACTACACTTACTACACTTACTACAGCTACTACACTTACTACACTTACTACAGATACTACACTTACTACACTTACTACACTTACTACAGCTACTACAGATACTACAGCTACTACAGTTACTACACTTACTACACTTACTACACTTTCTACAGCTACTACAGATACTACAGCTACTACAGACACTAAACTTACTACACTTACCACACCTACTACACTTACTACCACTTCTGTGCCTAGAGGCCCGACATGGCATCGGTACCTCAGGACATTTCATGGGGTCATACATGAACTACTAACCGAGAGCCTGAAACAAACCTTCTACGAAACGTCTGCCGCCCACTTTTTTGATTGATTGACATTTGCCGAATCAGCCAATCAGAATTACTTCCGTTGCTTGTTTTTCTAGTATGCAGATTTTTCACGCGTGGGAAAATTGCAGTCTGGCTGACTTAAAAAATCGCTTTTATCTGTTAATCAAAAGGCACCTGGCCTTGTTAGCGGTCAACAACTTGCAGAGGGATTCAACTCCGAGATACAGTACACTCACATTAGTTCCGTAAATAAAGCAAATCCAGAGAATATATGAACAACCATATGAATTTTCTGAATTTCCATGGCACATATCAAGGCATATTTTCCTACTATAAGACCATAAAACAATCAAAAAGACAGCAAAATCGATCCTTCTCTCCGGTGACGACGGATCATTCACGAAAACAACCACGCGAGGAATAAGCGCTTTCAACTTCCGCCGTTTCCGACAGCCGATCAGATCTTGTGGCATTGTTCTCACAGCCAATCAGCGTTACGGCCAAAATCTGGCCGTAACGAGCACAAACGTGAATGTGTTTGGATCAGGCCCAATTTTAGCGCTGGCCGTTAGAGAGAATGTATGAGAACCGCTAAAATTGCGCCTGATCTCAGGTTACGTATGGTCAGTTCACAACGACTTGCATCACAACTTGACTCTCGTGAGACCGGGAAATATCTAAAATCAAAACAACAGCTGAAATCGATAGATCAAAACTTGCGGAGTTCATAATTCCATGAAATAATTTTGTAGAAAGGCTTGTAAAGTTTGATTGAGAAAAAAATTCTTCAGTGGCGTGCTTTGTACTTGGAAACCTTCGCAAGAAAAAAAAATCCAATCTCGGTCCACAGTGGTCGAAATTTCTCGTTCAAGATCTCTTTTTGCGGTTCTCAAAACTCTCCGTTTTGAAAAAATACGTATCCAGATTGAAGAAGTTTTGCGAAAGACTAATAAATCCATAAACTTCCACCACAGTATGTGCAATTATAATTCTCTGCAGTTTTATTGACACCTTTAGAACAAAAGGATACGTATATACCGTCGTGGCCCAGGACAGCATAAGTAAGCCATTGTTCCATTCTTTTGAATTCGCTTCTGAGTCTTTCGCCATAAAATCTCACCTTATTTTAACCGAGTCAAAATGAGTACTCTGAAAGGGAATGTCCGAAGAAATTAATTGAGCCTTCAGGGTATAAAATCCAGCGGTTAGTTGCCATTTCTGAAATACATATCTAAATTGGCATGAAGTTGTAATGTGCAGGCAAATTCAGGTAACCAAATTACTTTTTGCCTGCTTACGTATACACAAATTCATGGGACCTGGAATGGAATTAACCAAGAAGTCTTTTTAAAACATAACTAGCATGGTTACCCGGAAAAGATGGCATCATTCTCGTTCCCAGACCTGCAATCCTTTTGGTCAGCGCCGTAGATTGGCGTCCGCATTCTGGCTGTTTTACAATAATTGTTTGAGTTTTTATAGTTGTCAGAAAGTTTTATTGTTTAAACTGGTTTTCTTTCCTGACATTCATATCGCAAATACTTTACAACTGAAGACAGCGATAGCCAGGTAATTTATGATAAATCTTCTACTAAATGTAAGTAGCGCAAATTTGTTTGCCATTTGCTTGATTGTTGCATGGTTATTGTGGTGTTTTTTTGTTGTTGTTGTTTTGTTTTGTTTTGTTTTTTTAATCAAATTTAAAGAAAAACGTAGATTCCTTTCTTCTGCATTTTATTAATTTTTTTTGCTTAATTCAGCATGATTTACAGAAACTAGCATAATTATTGCCTTGATTTTAAAAATATATGAGCGCTGCTTGTAGCATGTATATTATGCACCTTTGCGAGCACAATCTATCAAAGCATAGTTGTTTATATTTTTGCCGTTGTTGTTGCTATTTTTTTTTTTCGTTAAATTATAAGTTACAGTCTCACTCAGACACGATTCGTATGTCATACGACTCACGTAGGATGGATTAATTTATAGATGCAACAGAGCAACAGTTCCAACTGAATAGAGATTTTATTTCTTTTTCTTCTGAGAGCTACTTTACAGCAACTGTCCTAAGAGATATCATGCCATTTACATATTAGATGGCACGTTTAAATCCAGAAAATCGCAGTTTAATCAACGATAATAATAACAATAATCAACTGCGACATTTTTGCCCACGTAGGAGCGTGGTCTGAACCCACCACCTCCATTTGAAGGTCTTGTATCTTCACAATCCCACTGGAACCACTCACTTCTAACCTTCATTCCTCGCACATGCTGGCACAAGTGAGTGTTAGATTTCAGCAAGACGAATGGAGAGTCAGTAGGAAGAATTATGGGATTTGTGGCGTGCCCATCTGCTCGGCAGCAGTAGTAGAGAACGGTGTTTCTATCATAACGGCCATCTGGAACCTGACCACCATATCTATTCTTGTTGTTAAGATCTTCGTCATCCCATTTTATGTGTCCTTCTGTAAAACCTGTGTGTGACCAATAAATTGTACATGAAAAGGGTTTGTTCTGTTCCACCAGAGGGTCATTGAGATCCATACGGATCCATCAGTAAGCCTGGCCCTTCCATTTCTTACTGCAGTCGCCATTTTAAGACGCTTTGTTTACTTCATGGTATTGTAATCATTATCATTGATATTATTATCAAAATCGTCATCGTCATCATCATCATCATCATCATCATCATCATCATTATCATTTGCCAAATTAAATTTCGTAACTAGGTGGATTATGACTGGATGAATCTACCGTGAGTCACGTGACTGACGTTTCGACAAAAAGTGCAGTAGTCATCTGCAGAGTCAAAGTGACTGGTTTTTTGTCAATTGATGGAATTAAAATCTGTTTATTGACATGACTGGTCAATTTTTTGGTCAATTAACAAACTGACGATCGATAAAAAATAACTAAACAATCTAGCTGACTGCCTATTCTAATTTCAAATTGGCTTGAACAAACCAAAAAAAAGAGTCACAAATAACACAAACCTTCGGGACATTCTCCTTTCTTGAGAATACAGTATTGCCCTCTTGGCCAGGGAAGATTGTAATCAGAAGCTTTGTCTTTTGTCTTCATGCAAAACTTTTGGGTCATATCTCTTCTGTAATATGGACCAGCCAAATCAAATGGAGATGACCACTTGTTGCTTCCACGAGTATCTTCAGTATCGTGACTGCGATATCCCGCATGCCATTGAAAGTTTGATCCCTTGGGGCATCCCGACTTAGGCATGGGAAGACCGTATGTACCCTTAGGCCAGGTTAGAGGAATCCGCACTTCGGGATCTAATTATAAGATACCGTCAAACACTGAGTAAATACTTTTTGTGTCTAGTTCTAAGTGGTGATTAACATGCACTTTAGGGCTTAGGAATTCACCCGTGATCTACCTATCTACCTATTGCTCGCCATTGCTCGGCCACAACAGTATGGGCCTGTTTACAAAGAGGTAAGTCAGGTAACCCACCTAGGTGTGGTAACCTTCCACTCTATATAATCTCCCAATTCAAATTGATCAGGTTAACATGATAAACGGGGTGACCATATGAGAGATAATATGGACAGGAGGATTACCACGCCTAAACGGGTTACCTCTCCACCTGGGGTCCCCCACCTCCATGCGTTTCTTCAGCTTTCCTGAAAACATGGAGATTCCCTTTCAATTATCACTTAAAAGTTTGCCAGATTTTCTGACAAAACAGTAACGTTCTTAACCTTATTTATATTATTTTAATGCTATTTATTTTTCACTTCCTTCATAATAGACTCGTACCTACAGGTTTAACGGCTTTCTTAAGGCGAGGATATTCCTTTAATGCTCTTATGACCGCCGCCTTGCGCGCTTTGAGCAGAGAGTTAGAATGAACGCATCGTGCGGACTTCTGTTGATCCAAGACGGAGTAAAAAGCGGGATCAAAAGCTTCAGCAATTGGCACCAGTTTAAGTCCAATGGGCTCAGGCATGTTTGGTCCTCCAGACTTGAATACTACCTTGTGCTCCCCAAATTTGGAGTCCTTTGACATCGACTCTTTGAACGCGTTAACATCGACTTTTAAGGATGCGCTAAATCCCATGTAACTTCCAGACACAGATACCGAATTTTGCGACTAAAAAAGGAATAAAATATATTGGGATCGTAAAAATATTTAACAATTATTCCTCGAGCCTGAATGGGCTCTGAGTCAATAGCCCATGAGGACGAAGGCCGAATGGGCTATTGTCTCAGAGGCCATGAGGGCGAGAAGAATAATTGTTTTAGTAAAATCCAACTAGTTGGTCAAAAATATCGAGAGTAAAAAAATTTTAGTAGTTAAAAGCTAGACTTTAATCCTTTTTTGCGCCAAAAAGCCCGCGCTTTTCGCTACTAGTAGGCTATAACATATAGCCTAGTAGTAGCTCAACCAATCAGGACGCAGCATTGATAATAGACCACCAGCTGGATTTTACTTATAAAGCTTATTTCCGAAGAACAGTTCATCTTGTGATGCACACAAAAACCTAACGGTTTCATGAAATATAATCTACGTTTATCTACAGCGACTTTTAGTTCAGGTTCTCAACATGGCGTAATCCAGCATCTGAAAACGTTATATTATGTCTGTAAAAAAACCTCTGAAAAGATGAGATACTGTGCATAATGAACGTCGTCGATTATTTGAAGACGTAAAACCCGCGAAGTTTGGGAGAGGTCTTATAGAAAATTTTAAAAGCTGAATAAGTTCCACGGTGACGACTAACTATAAATGTAACTGCGGTAGAAAACGAAGTCAAAAACAAACATAAAAAAAAATCCAACATACAAGCAAGAAAAAAGGGAAACAACTAAATTCAATGAGTACTGAAGTTCAATTACCTTATCGAACTAAATCAAAAGCGACAAATCTAGAGGAAGAGAAAAAAATGTTTTAAAAAACTCTTCGTAAGGGATATTTCTTAAACTTACGTTCATCATGGCGTATTTGGTGAATTCTGCCTTTGAACTTTTAAAGCGTTCGGTTGTTTTCTCCCCCAAGTCTACTTCGACTACAATGTGCTGAAAAAACAAACAAAGCAAAACAAAGCATAGAAAAAAAGGCAAGACAGAAACAATTATACAACTAACACTGAAAAATGACGTCGATTCCGATTACAAAGCGGATTAATAACATTTGAACAAACTTACCGTTCCCCAGTCTTCCAAGAAATTAAAGTATGCTTTTTCGTTGTAGCTTCCTGGTAAAGCGCATACTGTAGCAGCAAAGTCCGCTGACACCGGGAACTTCTTTACTGGAGCTAAATCCAATTGGTAGCGTGCGCGTCCCTTATTGCAAACATGTTTATCCTCATAGAACACATTGTGATATTCGGATGTCTCCTTCTTCATCTTTTCGAACCCTATATGTTGAATGCAATGCATCAGTATACAAAGAAATACTGGATCATTGGACAGTAACTATGTCTGAGCTAATATCAAAAGGATGTTTTGAAAATGTACTTCTCAAACTCATTAATAATTCATAAAGAAAATACAAAGAAAATTAATGTTTAATGAGTGTTTGGAAATCGGATGAAAAACTGCTCAGTATTTGCATCCTTAATTTCTCCTTCAAAAATGCTTTTGTTTGAGAAGAAATATCAAACATTCGACACAGTGTTTCATCACCAGATGAAACACCTCGAAGTTCGTCAAAAATACTCCGCTGCGCGTCGTATTTTCAACTCTCTTCTCGGTGTTTTATCTGGTGATGAAACACTGCGTCTCATGTTTGATATATTACTTCTGCAATTAGTTGAACCTCCATTAGGCAGCCACTTAAACTATTAAGCGACCACCTTCTATTAAGCGGCCAATAATCAAGAGTCCCGAAATAACTCTAGAAAAGTGGCCGCGGCCAATCTTTAGCCGTCCTAACGAGTGTTCTCCCATTTTCGTCACCTCTATTAAGCGGCCATTAAGCGCTTAATGCACTTAGTTTAGATTCATTTAAAAAATATGATGAAGGAAATACAGTCCGAGATGGAACTTGACGACTGATTGTGGATATATTTGGTAATGCTGCTCCCGTCGCGCGTTTGTATCAAAATACAGTGATGTTTCTGCTAAAGATTAATATGATAATTTATAACAAACCTCTATTGGGCGGCCAAACTCCAGGAAGCAGCCACTTACTGATACCCCGAGGGTGGCCGCTCAGTGGAGGTTCAACTGTATCACAGACTTTCCTATGCAGCCAAAGAATGCATGAAGTGAAATTTCTACCGTAATCATCACTATAACAAAATTCTCTAATCCAATTGTCTATTTGCAACCCTGATTCAGCATTAATAGCACAACACGTGATAGGACAGTCTAAAGTACGGCTTGTCGTGCCAAAAAGTGCAAGGACTTGGAAGCTAAGTCTCGGAGGATCTTTTGTTTTCACTGTAAAAAAAATTATCACAAATTTCGTCATAGCTATGCTTAATTGATAACAGAATTTCGTGTCGCCCTTTTTTTTTTCTCTGTAGTCACACTCGGGACTTACGTGGTGGACGGTTTGTTAATCACTTTTGTGATTAAAGACCGAGGTCGACTCCAACAAGTCCTATTACCATTATTTTCCAACTTCTTTCCGTTCTAGTTTATAGCCTTAAATCTTGCACTTGGACAAGTTTATGACTCACACAAAACCTTCTATATAACAACAATCCAACTGGATTCGTAAAAGTAAATGAGAAGTTAAACACAAGTGACTCATTTTATTTCTTACTTGAACTTAGCGAAAAAGCGACACTCAGCAAACCGCCGCCGTAGTTACCTACACAGAAATTTAAGAGAATAAAACCAGTTAAAAAAAAATCACAGCTTTGGCAATTAATATATTAAGTAAGAATCACTTATAAAAGTAGTCACAAGAAATGTTGTAAAAGCGATATTTCCTTGAGAGTCTTAAGCGCAGCATCTGCCTAACTATAATTGTACAAGGTTTTACATGTGACAGCATTGTCGTAGAATCAGCGTGTGAACGCTCAGACTGAAATCTTAGCACCCTCTTTTTCCGCTTACCGTTAACTTGGACATCGGCGTTCAGTTTTTCTTGATAACTCTTAGAACCGGAAAACACTTCTTTCTTGTTGGTTGTGACACAGGATGAACGAGGCGCAAAGGTCACCTGATCTGGCACACTGAACCTGTTGTCCATCGATTTCTTGTTCGTGTTCCAGGTAAGCTTAAAGATCTTTCTGGTGAAAAGAAGTCCTGGATCGACACCCCCATTTGTCACATCTCCTCCTTCAGGGTTTCCTTCCAGGAGGTTATAACCAACACCAACAAAATGAAGTCCCTTTGGAGCATCACCATCCACAACCACAGTCATACCAATCATGATGAGAAAGATGGACAACTGCATGGTAGCTCTGTGACGTTTACTGCACATACGTGTAGCTTCTTCCCTAAATGCAAAAAAAAGGCTTTTTTTAAATTTTTTTCATTGCACTTGTAAAAATAAATCTAATATGTATGAATAAGTTATGACTAAATATTTAACTAACTTAGAGAAAAACAGGTCCAAACTATGTAAAACTATGTAAAATTTTCTTGTTTTGTTTTGTTTTTCCTTATATACGCGTATTTTGACCGCAAAACAAAAAGGTTTGGCCCTTCCCGTTATATTGAACAAAAATCGTGCTATAAATTAGACATGTCTTAGCTGCAAAAAGAGCTCCATTATCTCATAATGACAATTATCAGTTTTTTTTTAATTTCTTTTGTAGTGCATTAATGGGAGTGAATATCACAAATTCTCCATTTCCCTCTCCATCATTATTCTGCCCTTCGAAATTTACAACATGTTTACGATCCACAGACTTTAAGTTAACAACAGCGCTTGAAGACTAAAAGAAAGTGTGTTTTGATATGCGTCATTTCTCTTACCAATCTCTTCTGCTGTCCTGCCCAGTGTGTTGTACACATTCAAGCTTTTTTTTTTTTCTTTTTATCCTTTCGCACCAGGCGACGGTTTAAGGAAAGAGACCGTGGGAATCTCATCAGACTTTATTTTACTAGCCGTTTACTGCAGTTAATTGCAATTGTTGTAGATAATTAGGAAAAAACTAAAACTGGCAAACAGCAGAACGTTTATTGAATCTTTCCCATTGATACTGGCTGGCAGCTCACGGCTATTTTCTTTCTCTATTTTATTATTATTAGTTTTTTTTTTCACCTAATATTTCCAAACTGAAATAAAAATAAAAAAAATATTTTACTATCTTTAAAATTTTAATTTATGGAAATAAATGGTTCAATATTGTCTCACCTTTATATTTAATTATGGCTATACATTTATTAAAAACGGTTAAAACATTGCACCTTACAAATCATAAAATTGCTTTTCAACAAATTTGACCAGAATTATTTCTTAACCCCCTAAAAAAATAATAAGAGTTATAACGGACCATATAATTTGTATAACAGTTTTTTCTTTAACCTTGTTTTATTTATTATCTTTCACCGGTAACGATGACATAGTACTTAGTTGTGCATTTTGTTTTAACCTGTCATAATAATAGAATAATTTATCTTTTTTTTTTTAAATACTCACTCACTCATTACTATATAACAAAACAAAAAAAATTAATAAGGCATAAAACGTGTCTACGGTTATGACGAACCACTTCGTCATCACTATATGATTCTGGAAAACAATTAATTCAAGGTAGGACAAAAGAAAGAGACTTATCATCGCGTAATTCTTTTATCATTTCTGATTTTTTAGCAATAAAATTTAGTCGTTTACAGATTCTCAACACTTAAAAGGATAATTAAGCTGTTCTGAAGGAATGATCGGACATTTTTGGGGAAAAAATTGCAGATTCTACCATCATTTACTTGGTCAGCACTGAAATAACCCAGTCCATTAGCTCAGCTCAAGGCCGGCAGTTTAAAGAATGTTTATTTATTGATTAAGGCTCCTATTTGAGAGTATTAACACTTTAAACATATGTAATTATTAGGAGGTTCCTCAGGGTCATTTAACTTCAGACAGATCTTTAATGAGAGCGCGGGGATTGACGACTTGATAAACCAATCGGTTGCATTTATTTTTTTCATATATGCAGAATGGTTGCCTCACGTTTAATCAATAAACCGCATTAATTAGAAGACTTTGTAAGTGAAAACAAACTTCAAAATCAAATCTTTAAATCTCCTGAAAATCTCCTTTCTATTTGAATTTTATGTCCACTATTTGTTTTAAAATCAAAAAAGACAGTGTAAAAATAGTTTGAATTACAACCTCAAAACTCGTACACATCAATCCTATTTATTATTATTATTATTATTATTATTATTATTATTATTATTTAAGTATTATTACTTTTAGAGTGCTTTGCAACTGGAAACATGAAATTTTCCGTATGTTACTAACATACTAGCACGCCTAATAAATTCTATCATTAGACCTTGTATTTTGAACTATTAAGTTCATATTAAGAACTTATTTTCACTGCTTTTTGACAGACAGCTTTATCTAGATTCTGGATCAGAAACTTCTCTCAAGAAACAACAACCTCGCGGAACTCCAATTAAAAGAAATTTCGTAATTGTTTAACTCTTAAAGAGTCAATACAGCTTGTTGACTTTTTATCTACTATCTAAATATGCGACTGTGAAGTGACGTTCGTCTCACAAGCTCTAATTGCTCCCAAAATGCTGATTTATTCAGCTTAAGCGGTATATTCTTTGAAACAAAGTTTCATCTCCCTTTTTAACCAAATATAATTATAATTTGATAACAAAAACAGCAATTTTCATTTTCATGGGATTCGCAGAGTTATTTATTTCACTTTTTTTTTTTAAGAAAAGGTGGAAGGATTCTTTTAATTTCATTTTTTTTAAACATATTTTATTTTTAGTCTTTATATGACGATATTATTCTGCAAATTATGTTGAAGGAATTTCACTCAATGCAAGACAGACGCGAGTTCAGTTTGCATAAAACATGAAATGCTCTACTTTGATATTTTCTCCAGGAAACAATGAAAGTTATTTTTCAAATGATTCTATAGGATTTTTCTTTATGCTTAGTTAAAATGAACAACATCTGAGCAAATTATTATTATCATCATTATTATTATTTTAAATTTTTAGAATGCTAAAACAAACAATGTTCCAGATAAATGCGGCTCCGAGATCTTATAATGAACTTTCAGAAGTCCGACTTCAGTCCGAACACTGGTAAGTGTCAGACTTAACGTACGTTCAGTAGTTTTAAAGGTGCAGATACTCCAAGCTATAAACCAAAAATAGTAGATAAAATGGACATTTTTAAGTTCATAAAACGCAGAAACCCATACACTGGTCAGGATTTGAACTTAAAGATTTTCAGGGCTGATTTATTAAGGGGAGAAAAAATTAAATTTCATATATAAGTTACCCAGCAAGACTACAAGTGCAATTGCCAACCCCTAAATCAATACATGTCCATTCACACCTTCATTTCTTCAGTAAAAAGAAGGATTTAATAGTATGGGGAGTTCTGGGAGTTATAGTGAATAAACGTGGATTAGATCCTCAAAACGTTTTACCAAGAGTGAGATACCCAGTTCAGATGGGACAGGTCATTAATATTCGTAAGGCATTATTGTTCACAGAGAATTTCAACCTTTATTGTTTCATGAAACTTTAGAAAAAGATTCATCATGCTATGCTTTTACTTATTCAGAAGTGAACACAAGTTTTCGCAGCAAACGTAACATCCAATGACCATCGCCAAACTCTCAAGCCTAAGATTATCGAAAAAAGGGTAACGTTTATTTGGTGAATCGAGTTCAAGGCTAGGACTAATAGACTCAAACCATTTGATAAAAGAAAGGGAAATGTTTATGTTTATTAGTGTTTAATAACATACTCAACATCGTAAAACATATATTCAGAATACTGAAGTTGTTTTCATTTAAAGAAGTACTGACCAATTACCTTTTCCTTAACACAATACGCTTAGCAATAAATCTATTTGGGCCTAAACTGATTACAATATTTTTATATCTTGTACGTCGTCCTATTTATGTAATCAAGTAAGTTACTCTTATTACGCAGGATGTTAAACAAGACAGACATTTAGAGATGACACTACCAGCTCCAATCTGGTTGTTCATTGAAGCCAGTGTACTCACTTCGCTTGTAGACTTGAGCAATGCCTATGGCCAGGAACCCCCGAAAGGACTTCAGTTTTTAGGTGTGGGCTATAACCTTTTGAAAGGAAACCCCGAAGGTGGTGATTTGTCAAATGGAGGTATCGACCCTGGACTGCTCTTCACTAGAAAGGTGTTCAAGTTGTCGTATGACACCAATAAACTTTCTGTTGGCCAGCAGTACATGATACCAGATCAGGTTAGCTTCGCTCCGAGGTCCAGTTGTGTGACTACCACACAGAAAGAAGTTATTTCCGGATCGAAGAGTTATCAGAAAAAGCTGGCTGTTGATGTATGTGCTAACGGTAATAATTATCCATAAGTTTTAAAATCTAGATTTTGAATCTAAATAACGATTAACTAATAATTAATTTTTAATTTTTGATTGAAAGGCTCATGGCACATAGTTACTCAGTCTCGAACAAATTCACTAATTTTTAATAAATCAAGTGATTTTTAATTGTTGTTGTTGCTTGTTTCTTTACATAGGTGGATACGAATCAGACCTATGGAATGTTGCTTTCACCCTGAGTTCAAGTAGGTTGACTTGTTACTGTTATTGTTAATTGTTTCCCCACTAAAATACTCCATATTAAAGCTCCATTTTTTTCCACTTAAATGCTGGGTCTCCCCGAAAAGTCACTACTTAAAAATGCTTAATGATGCTTATCAGACAGCGGGTTATTTAGTAATTTAAAAAGTAGTGTTAAAACAGCAACGGATACAAGTAAATGGTTTTCATAGAGCATTAAGATTGATACTCTTAACAGCTGTTAATAACAGTGACATTTGAGTTTGGTTTGATATCGGCATTAAACATACACAAAGTGTCCATTCTATCTCGATATATATAATCTTAATTTCATTTTTTCTCGCAAAAAATTATAGCTTTCTCGAAAAATTCCAGTAAAATGCTCTCACAATGCTTAATGCTTTTGCTTCACTAAACCTCTCGAAGAAATGCGAGCATAAAGCATATTTTTCAGTGTAAATTTGGTAGCTGTATCATTAGACGTATCTCTTCAATTCGTCTGCTTTTATTACAGTTCTAAGTCTAAAGAAAAGCCCTCTTAGTGATACCAAACACACAATACTTAGTTGAACGTGGATCCAGTGTGGATCACGGGAACTGCTTTCTAGACAGTAATATTAGTAATAATGTCTCTTATTTTCTTCGATTTATTAGATTTCGAAAAGATGACTAAGGAGACATCGACGTACAATAATGTGTTTTACGAAGAGAAAAGTGTGTGTAACCGCGGTCGCGCTCGCTACCAGTTGGATTTAGTGCCGATAAAGAAGTTCCCAGTGTCTGAAGACTTTGCAGCCGCGGTTTGTGGTCTTCCAGGCCAATATTCTGAAAGAACGTACTATCAGTTCATTGAGAGATGGGGAACCGTAAGTTGTACATAACTTGGATGTTTTCAATGATGATTATTGAACTGAAGGGATTGCAATTTGGCTTATTAACAAACGCGGCATTTCAAAATTTAAGGAGCGCGCAGCACAAGTCAACTTTGTAACCACAGACAAAAATTGCACTTCACTCAGATCAATTGCCGCGAAAAAATTTATTACATCCATTCTGAAATTCCTCGATTTAATGGCTCAAATACAGGATTATTTCTTATTCGGTACCGGTATTTTATTAATTCAGTCACTGGTGTCGCTAAAAACGCTTTCAAATCTCATATTGTATGCAGTACAGAAATAATGAGAATCAGAGCAGAAAAAATTTGAATGCTTGGATAAAAACGGTGAAACGTTTACATAACTAATTTTAGCGGCAAACATTTTACAAAAAAAAAAAAGCATTTAAGAATGTTTTTAAATATAATAGTCATGGTTGTTCGCCTCTTTAATCTGCATTGGCTTTTTTTTCTCGGATGTCGTTTTATTTTAGCATATTGTAGTTGAAGTGGAGTTGGGTGAAAAAACGATTGAGCGCTCTAAAAGCAGTAGGACAGAATTCACAAAATACGCCATGAATAACGTAAGTATGGATCCCCCTTTTAAACTTATTGAATAGTTTCCACGCCCTACTTGTAAAATGTATGATTTAATACATTCCCGCCGCAAATATATTTTTACTTTAATTTGTGTTCTCCGAAGCAAAGCGGAGGAAGAGTCAAGTCTCATTTTACATGTCCTACAGATAAATAAACTGCGATCCCTAAACAGTCGATAAGTCATTGTTATTAAACTATTCAATTCCTCCCTGTTTTTTGTTGTTTTTTTTTCTCCAGCTTAAAGGATCAGTATCTGCAGAAGGTGCTTTTCAAGGTTTTTCATCGTCATTGTCAGTGAACATGGAGAGATTCCGAGAAGAGATGTCAGAGGACACAAAATTCGGGGAAAGTAAGATAACTCTCACCTCAGGAGGGATGGACATGCCTGAGCCAATTGGTTTGCGGCTGATTCCAATCTACGAAGCCATGAGCAAGAGTTTCTACGTTGCTTCCGCATCTGCTAGGACCGCGTTGCCATGCCAGCACACGGATTCCTTACTGAATTCTAGACGAAAAAATCTAAAGACAATCCTGAGAGACTACCCTAGAGTGAAGAGGGTCAAGAAACCAGTTGGTAGGTGTAACATCTATCCTTGCGTTTTAATGAGTGTTCAGAGTAAGGGCAAGTTCTCGTTTTAAAAATATCTCTATGAATTGCTCCTTAAATTTTTGGTTCTCGGTGTTTAAAAAATGGTGGGTATAACCATCTCCAATTCATGAAAACAAAACAAAAAAAAACATTTTCAAACCAGCAGGTCCATTTTGCTAGCTGAAGCTTCCCTGAGAGGGGACACTTTTGTTATCTTTTTTTTTTTTTTAAACACTTCTGCTAAGAAAACACGATTTTTCTGGTCCATAAAGATCTTCTGTTAACAGAATACTTGACCGTATGTTTAAACTATATTACGTACAGGCACCAAGCAATGAATCTAGAATACCAACTATTGACACTATAATTTCTAACACCGCTCCTAAAACTCAACTACCAACAGTTTCCTTTTAAATACGACAGAGTGTCAATTTTGGTTCCCAAGAGCTATGGCCTATGAGAGCTATGGTTGATGAAAACTGTTAACGAGGTAAAATAAATAAATAAGTAAATAAATAAATAAATAAACAAATAAATAAATAAAATTTTCTCTTGTGATAGATCCGGAAGTAAGAATTCCCTTAACTTGGCCACAGGGAACGTATGGGCTTCCGATGACTTACCGTGGTTGTCCTGTTGGGGCCGGATTTCGATGGCATCATGGGTACCGCTATCAGGAAGGGGAGCTTGGAAATAGCTGGTCAGGGGGTTACCACCTCGGTGGAAAGAAATCCATCTGGACTAACGAACAAACCTTCTGCATGAAGACTCAGCAGCGTGGAACCGAGTATGACCTGGAATGGGGACCAGGACAGTACTGTATATTTAAGAAGGGAGACTGCCAAGAAGGTAAGCCGTTTTAGTTATTAGAGAGATCAAGAGGCACTGAACGGCAAACGTCAGGCGGATTCAAGTTGAGAACTCCTCAAAATAGAAAACGAGCCGGGAAAAACAGTTCCGAACAATCAATTGTTATTGATTAAACTGGCGTGAATCCACTGATTTCTGTGTAGTTTTTAGTAAAGAGTGAATGTCAAGTAAAGGGGAAACTTGGTCAAATGATACAAAGGTGATTCTTAACCTCTCTGTTAGTTTAATTATAGAATGAAGATGATTTGAACTGAGGGAGTACAAATCTAAATGATGACATGAGCATCCTTGCAATAGAAAATTAAACGGGTAAAAAAATTCCGGGGCACCAGCAGGCATTCGAACCCATGACCTCTGCGTTAGCGAAGAAGCCATGGTTCATATCGATAAACTGATCAATAACTAACTCATACGAATATTTATGAGCAAATTATTTCCGTTTCTGATTGGCACGAGTATTAATACAACGAAAAATAAAATTGCTTCTCTGAGGGACACATAGCCGACTAGGAAAAATTATGCCTGAAATGAGTTCTCTAAATGACGGGCTTGAAAATATTCTTGTTTTCCAGGCTTCGATGAAGGTTTTATTCGCTGGGATGACGAAAATACAGACAACAATAACAACTATCGAGGTACTTTACCAGATGGAAAATACGGGAAAAATACACTGATCAAGTATTGTTGTCGCACAGACGGCTTTGCGACAAATCCCATTATCCTTCCAACAGATCAGCCCTTCGTTCTTTTCAAATCCAATAGTCATCAGTGCCAACAGGTCCAAGGAATGCATGCGCACTCCGAATGGTTCAAGTGGGACACAGAAGATTGGTCTTTCTCGGGAAATGAAAAGGGTGGATCCATTCCATATGGAGAAGTCGGCAGGAATATAAAACTTGATTATTGTTATTACACTCGGTCTTGAACCGAGGCGGAGATTAATTACTGGACATCCTTGTGATCTTTCAAAAAGAAGTAATAAATGATGAAACTGTAATTTATACGAGTACTTGATCTGTGACTAACTGCATGAGGGTCAAAATTGAGTCTGATATCAGCCTGTATCAGTTAATTCATCATTTTCACTTGGCGCTTAAGAAAAAAGCCTTGCCGGTTTGTGTATTGTTATATTATTAATATCGCACAGTATAAAACTTTAGAATGCTGTCCACATTACGAGTAGTATAGGGCGCATGACGTAACCTACACCATTATTATTATTATTATTATTATTATTATTATTATTATTATTATTATTATTATTATTATTATTATTATTGTTATCATCTTCATCATCACCAACATCATCATAAACGTTATTATTACTAATCTGACACCTACAGGTGGCAATGTCTCCCCAAAGCATACAGTTGTATCCCTTAGACTTAAATGTAGGTGTCTAGGTGTCCTCCCACTATTAAATTTACTCAGTGCCAAACAGTTCTCCGAAATTAATTAAAAGAGTCACCAAATGATTCCTTAAAAGATCTCTGTAAATCGTCAAGCTGTCACACTAATATTCAATATGATACGTACAAATCCACTAGGGAAGTTCTTAACGGTTTCTGTTCTAATCAAGAGGACAGACTGCAGCATCACCTAACATCTCAAGGTTTCTTCTTCTCAAATGTTATCAAGTACTCATTGTCATCAGGATACCAGAAGGATATTTCAACTTTGCACGAACTATACAAAGCATAGTTCGGGCAATGTGAAAATGGTGAATTCCCTAGATGTCAGTTCTCAGATCTTAGCGAGTAGCTAAACATCTCTCAAGACATATCTTCTCGTCTCATTGTTAAATTTTTTTTTAGTTATCCGCTATATTCGTTGAACTGCTCCATCCAGAGGCTCAAGCTATTATATGCATTCTAGTCAGGGGCACCCAACGACTGTTTTCAGTCAAATATCTGATCTGTTCGGAGAAGAAAAAATCTAATGAATTTCTGTAGATTTTCTGAAGTTAAATTTTCTAGATTTCGTTCCATTCATGTGCTATTTTCCTATTTTTCGTAAAAAAGGAAAAAAAGGAATTTTAAAATTTTAATTTTCAAAAATGTGATGGAGAGAGGATTTTTCGTAGAAAATGGAAAACTGAAATAATAGGACTCAAAAATTGATGGAGGGAAAATTTTAGGGAAAATAATATCCAAGTCCCTATAATTTCGAAATGACTTATGACAAGTTCCCCTAGGATGACCGAACAGATTCAAATTTTATAGCGCCACTTATATTTATTTCACTTATGTATTTCTTCAGATCTAAAAGCACTCTTGATAGCCTAAAAAGTGTTTTCAACGTGTTTAGGAGGAAACTGTCATTGGGTGCCACTGTTCAGTGAATAATTTTTACAGCTTCACTGGTTTTTAGCCTCAAGTGGGTAAAAGTGGGTATATATGTTATTTTGACGGCGGTTTTAGATACCTGTACAAAATGATCATAACAATAGCAAATTTGCGCTTTGAACTTCGTCAACCTTGCAAAAAGTCGCAAATATTACATGGGTGAGAAAAACTGCAAACCTTGCGATTCTTGCGATTTTTTGCAAGCGCACGAAAATCGCAATTTTGCAGCTGTGTGCAAACCTGGACATAACTGCGTAAAATTTCGAGCGATATGGATTCCAACGGTTAAGTGAAAAAAAGTTGAATAATAAATAATAAAATAAGTCCAATAAAATAGAAATAATGAAAATTTAAGTTTGTCCAAAGCTAACTCTGCTTAATGATTGCACCTCCTAAGATCTCTTACTAGTTTTCAAAGTATATAAAGGTATAAATTAATTATTAGAGTATCATTTCGCAGAATCGGAAGATAAATGAAATGGACGATCTTGACTGGCCCTTGCAAACAGTTTTAGCCAATCAGCCAGGGACATGTTGCTGTGGGAAAAATCCCCACAAAAGTCATTGTTTTCATTCTAGGAATATAACTTATGACACTATTCCTTTGAACAGTTTTATGGAACTGTAGACGTCGTCCACCGATAATCATATCCTGCACGCAAAGATTATAGACGAGCTGGGTAATGTAAAATTTATTTTTTCTTTATTTTTAATTTTTGTTCTAAATCTTGCAAACGTGCCATTTTTATTAGTAACTAAAGTCAGTATTCTCCGAGGAGCCACTTGTTTTGCAGTAATTTTGGCAACAAATTTTTTTCCCTTGAAAATTCTTCCCTCTTAATGCAGATTTGATGAAGGAAACTTATTTCATTTGCCATGCTTTTAGATAGTTACAGCCAGGTAAAGGGGGTTTGTTATCGTAGCAGTCATTTTCTAGAACAATGAAAATACATTCAGAATACAAGGATGCACTGCATTAAAAATAGATACCTTATCTGACATATGACATAAATTTGATCCAATTGCAAAACGTATCGCAAACCAGGGGAATCCCCTACAAGTAACGTCCTTTCTAGGAAAAGCAAGGCTGACAAACTAAAAAAAAAAAAATGGCGTGCTGGGAATAACTACTTGGAAATAAGAAATTGGAAGACTTATGCTGTATATTTTTTCACTAACTCTAAGGAAGCAATAACTGGGCAGAACTAAAAATTCAGTTTTCTTATTGTGAAGGTAAAGAAAACAGTTCTAAAATTCTTCTGTTATTTTATATTACGTCAGTCGTTGTAAATTATGTTGATGTAGCATTTTTAAATATTCAGAAAAGATCGTTTTTGCAAAGTGGCAGTGTTATTGAGGGTAAAGTGACTCGCCACTGTCATATCTTTATTATATATGTATCTAGAAAACGACTACTGTAGTTACCCAAATATTTACGGTTGTGTCTTGGATAGATGAATCTTTAAGTGAGTATATGCAAAGTTTTCGTTCTTATATAATGGTATAGATATAAAGAAAACCCATGCTCTCATTCCCGCTGCTCAGTTTGTTTCAGCTAGTGATCTGCTCGCTTAATTTGAAAGCCAGATTCAGTTCTTAAAATCCCTCTACTTGACACTGGAGATCATAATAATCAGTTTCCTTGAGTGAAATTAATAATAGTTGTGAGTGCGTGACAGTGAAAAACAACTGAAGGAAGCGAAATCATTCAAGGTTCCGCGTACTCAAAGAAAGCTGAGTCTGTCAATACGTTGTCCAATTCCTTTTAACGAACAGACATTCCTTTTAACACTAAGATAGGTAGCTAGAAGTTCTGCTGTTCAACAACAGTTACAGATCCGATTTTTTAATCTCTTCCCTTTTGGTCAGCTAGGCGCCAGATGTTACTAAAACTGAAGTGTGAAACTGTGTTATAAACATATACTATCTCAGTTACAAGATTAAAAATTCTAAGTTTAATTTTTCTTTCTCTTTTTCATTTTCTTTTTATTCTCGGTTAATGCAGTTTTTAAGAAGAAATGGCTTTACTAGGAACACGAGTCGTCCGTGGACCAGACTGGGAATGGCAAAACCAAGATGGAGGAGAAGGACATGTCGGAACCGTTGTTCAGATCGGAAAGGACAAGAAATCGCCAACCACAGCACAACTTGTGTGGGTTCAGTGGGACTGTGGGATTAAAGCAAACTATAGGGCGGGATTTCACGGTAAACACGATCTAAGGGTGTTTGATAACGCCATTGGAGGTACGTGTTAAATATTCAGGCTGTCGAATAGCGAAATCTTTCACTACGGTAAAAGCTTAATGCAATAAAACATTATTCAGTTACTACAACCCATTCGAGAAGAGGATTCTTTACATTCTGACATATAGCCTTCCATTAGTTGGGGTCCATTTCCAAGAACAAGGAAGGAAGGCTTCTTTCCGTTGCCATTTCACTTTCTCTAGCGGCGTCATATGACATTGTTTATGACGGAAGCGAAAATGACGCAGATGACTCGCAAGTTGTACCCAGTCTCTCCCTCCCGTTGTGTTTTCTGGAAAAATTTTAAGGTAAAAAAAGAGACTTTTCACGCGTTAACACTTTTCCAGATTTCACTGTAAACAGACAGAAGAATTACTATAAGTCCCGTTTAGACCAGTTTACCCTGGTCCGGACAAATGTTATCTGAACGGACGAATTTTTTATTTGTACAACCCGTTTACACGTAACCGTGCAAATTCTGTTATAAAATGCAGCACTGTTTGCCGTTCAAAAACTTGTACGGTTCTGAGGATTCCCTTCGTAAACGAAACGCAGATCATTGCAAGTTTTTGTCCCGTTGAAAAACGTTCAAAAAATTTGTGTAAGTCACCTCTAGAAACGAGTCTGGTTTTCAGAATTGGCGTTTTTGTTAAGCCAAGAGAGTATTCTCTTGATTCAGTGGATTGCTAATAGCGGAGCTCTCGCGCACTAAGCGCGCGCGGCGGAGCATCCGAGAAAATTTGGTAATAACGTGAACCGTACACCGACCGACCGCCCGACTGACCGTCCGTTCGTCCGCACCAGAGGCATACCAATTGAAAATAATTCAGTCAACAGGTATGGCAACCCAAATGCATTTCTAGACTATTTTGGCGGAAAATCACATAGCCACCGGCGTCTTTAAAGCAGAGATAACTAAAGAGTCAAGAAAGACGAAAACAGAAAGCGGAAATTGTTTCTATATCCGTGATGTCTAAAGTATTAAGCTTAGATTAATTGTTATGTCCACAAATTTGGAATATAGAGCAAGAGAAAGACAGAGAAAAAAAGAAAGTTGGCGGCAGGCCAGCGAAGCTCAATGAGAAACGGGAGGATCTACAGCGATAGATTTGTTGGAAGTTTTGTTGGAAAACAACATGAAAATTTTGTAGGGGCGGTGACAAAATGAGAAATGCTAACGGCCACCAATGCAAGGAGAGAATGAGCGGCAGCGAAAAAAAGTGAACGAGAACACGTACGACATTTCCTCCATAAAATTTCCAGAAACTTCTTAGTTACACTTTTCACGTTGTAGTCGCGCAAAACAACGGCAAAGAAATGTACCAAAAAACTGTGCTGCAGGTGCAAAGTTGGTTTTTGCTAATTAGACCTATTGTTGTTTTTCACCGTCTCCGGCGTTGCCTTCGTCGCTTAGCATTACACGATTTTATATTTTGTTTGAACAAACTATAAATATTATCGAGAGCTTCGCTTTAGCCCTGGCTAAATCTATATATTAGGCCCAATACTGTGTGAAGTTTTCGTCGGGATGGAGAAAACTACTCCGCGAGTGGGTGCTCAAAAATCGGTGTTCCACTGGCCACTGTACTGTAAGACGAACAGAACTTAATGATTTTGGATTTCCTACCATTATAATTATTTGATTGCACGTTCTCCTCTCCGAAACGTATTTCTTTTGATAGTGGTTTATCTTGGAAAAAAAAAAATTCGCCACAATATACTAAACAGGAAAATTTTCCTATTCAGCAGTTACAAGGTAAGTTATTGTGTTTGTAACTTTCATTTGCCTAGGTACAAAGCATTTGCACGTGATGTGCGATGGCTGCCGGAAGGATCCAATAGCTGGAATGCGCTGGCACTGTCTGACATGTCCGAACTATGATCTCTGCACCACTTGCTATATGACAGATAAGCACGACCTTCAACATCGCTTCGAGCGCATCAACAAGAGTCATGGGAAGCGGTAAGCATTCATCCACTAGCTCCAACCCACCAGCAGCAGCTCCGACATTCTCTTCTTCCAACAGACATCCCAGCGGGATTAGCAATAAATCCCACATCCTTACTGGTGGTTGGAAAATCATGTATATTTTACCCATGCAGAAGCTCTTTTTACGACTAGTCTTAACTCTTTCGTCTCCAAGGAATGTAGTAGTTCGTGGGAAATGTTGTCCCCAACAGAACTGCAGATCCGCACGAGGTTAATGGCCATTTAAGTATGCCGGCCGTTGGCATACTTAACTGGCTATTAACGCTGAGAGACTGAGGCATGAAGTGACTGCGAGACAGTAACTATTCCATTCAAATTGCACGAAAATTGCATTCAAAGTCAAACGCAACTAAAACAAATCTTGAAAAGAACAAATTTAAATAAAAATTGTAAAAATTTTTCCCTTCGTTCTGAACAACTAGCAGTAACATCATATCTCACCAGGCGCCTTAGGCAACAACGATTCTAACAGTTCATGAATAAATTAACGAACTAATAAATTAACTTTTGTTGTTATTGGCTGGTTTGTACTGCTTGTGAATAATGCGACAGGGTGAACGTTGGATCACGACAAGGATCAGATAAACAGGAAGCACGTGGGATGTTTAAGGGAGCTAAAGTAATCAGGGGAGCCGATTGGGAGTGGAAGAATCAAGATGGAGGCGCCAGGTTGGAGGGCGAGGTCACTGATGTCGCCAGCTGGGACGATGACGAGTCTGCGAAAAATGCTGTGCGAGTTAACTGGAAGGAAGGGCAAAGAAGCAATATTTACAGACTTGGAAAAGATGGAAAAGTACTTCTAATATTCTTCCTGCTTAATTTAATGGTTTTTGACTGCAGGGCAAGGGTTAATCTAATGATTGACAAATTTTTGGTTGAAGGTCGATCTTAAGTGTACCATGGCTGTTAGTGGTGGAAGCTATTACAAAGATCATCTACCAGTGCTGAAAGTAGAGTTGAAAAAGTCACAAAGTGGGCTTACAACTGGCGATAAAGTCATCATACAGGTGTCTGAAGAGAAACTTCAGCAGTTATGTGACGGTCACGGTGGTTGGAATGCGGATATGAAAATGGTTCGTAACTCATATCTGACCCTTTTCGTTCAACATTTTAGCAGGTTGTGATATATACTAAACCCAAGAATTAAGACGGAATACATCAGGGGATTGAGTAATTTCAATTTTCAGTGGACAAAAACCTTGTACCAGAATAATTTAACCATTTTCGGAAGGCTAGGGTCGTATACGACCCATATGAAAGATGTTTACATTCCTCCCTTGTCCCATTTAGCTTTCATTTTAAGTTAATAAGCAACAAGGTCAGAAAAGATAGATCCTTCCAGCGATACCTCGTTTTGGATATTTTGACCAATCCTGACAGAGTTACACTCACGAAATAAGGCAACATTTAGGGGAAAAAATCCACTGCCGCTTACATACTACTCTTTGAAAATTAAATTTGTCCTTTTCCTAAAAAGTTAGCCAGCCACAATTCCATGCAAAGCAAAGACGATAAAGTGGGCAACAAAACCATCAATAAAGAAGGAAAAGAAGGGGGAAAAAAAGCGAGAGAGAAAGATCGAAATAGATTCGCAAAAGAAACAAAAGTCCAAATTTTGGCTTTTGCGCATGCGTTAAAAACAATAAAGCTTTTTTTCAGGTTGGTCGGAAAGTATGCCTTTTTTTCTCGCAAAACTCGTTTTTAGCCATTGTTGTATAGCCGAAAACCAGTCAAAAGAAGAGGAATTGGAATTGGCGCTCGCCGGCCCGGGCTATAGATATAATTAGTCTCTGTAATAACACCAAAGACTATGTCAGTCACATGGGAGCCCGAGAAATAACAAATTTCACAAGAATTTTGAAATCACGCCAGGTAAAATTCTGAAAATTTCACGTGTAAGTTGTCATTTTGTGAACTTTGACATTTATTTTCTCGGGCTCCCATGAAAATTTTCTTTGGTGTTGTTAGAGATAACTAAAATACATCTATAGCCCTTGAAAAATGTAACAAATAATGCTGTAGTCTTTGAATTATTCTGGAACAAGCTTTTTGTCCAATGAAAATTAATATTATTCAATTTCCTAATGGATTCCGTCATAAATTTGTTGTCAACTGTTTCCCTTCTTTGTTGTGGTTTCATTGTTTGTTGTCTGTCTCTCTTGTTTTGGTTTTGTTTGCTTGTTTGTTTGTTTTACACCAGAAAAAAAACATTATGTTGATATTATACAGTCTCACCTCTCCTTACGGACACCTCTCTATAACGGACAGTCCGTTTGATCCCAGAAATGCCAAAAATCATACCTCTATAATACGGACACCTCTGTAGAGCGGACGCTTGGTTCTATCCCTTTGATGTCCGTATTAAAGAGATTTGACTGTAATTTTTCTGTGCACATAGTTGATTAATACTGTTGTAACATTGTCGTGTCGATGTAATTGTCTTTGAGTAAGGCATGCAGTTGTGGTCCTAAAGAGTCCTAAATGAGATTCAGAAGTGGAACACGTAATTTGGTAATGGGTTAATGGTAATTTAATCTCAGCGTTGACGATTAAGCATTTAGACAATAAAGCACGGTAATCTTATTAACATGCTTAACCCATGTATTATCGATACCTCTTCAAATTATAAAAGGGACCAACAAGAGCCGCCCCATGTAACGAACTCCGGATACGGGAATCAGGGAAATTATTCCTTCTGGAATCCGGGATACGGAATGCGGAAACTTTGCTTGTGGAATCCGGAAAACGGCTCAGGAGATTCGGAATCCAACTAACGATTGTAATCCAGAATCCAAGTTGTACTGACAGAGACTAGTATCCAGTACCCGGAATCCGGAATCCATAGCTTGAAACTCTAGAATCAAGGACGGTATTGGATTTCCTTACAAGGGGAGATAATTAAGAGCTTCTTCATTAAATTAAGCGCAGTGGTACTTTAACTTTTAGAAAGTATGTAATAATTAATCATCATATACATGCACTTATCGAGTCAGCCGCCATTAACGTGTTCTTAGCTCATTGCACTGAATTCTCTTACAGTTTATTAGGAAAGTCGGTGTCATTCAAGATTTCACTTCGAATGGTGATGTTCTGGTAGAATATCCTGAAAAAGTGTGGCGTTTTAATCCTATTATTAAAATCAAAATCTACATGGCGATACGTTAAACCCTATCAACCAGCCAGACCAAAAACGTGTCCTTAAAACTGGAACAGAAGATTGCATTTTTTGATGAATTCTTAGCCCATAGGGATCCACAGTTTTACGCTAAAAAGGAAACTAATCTTATTCTCGATTCATTCAAGCTCTGATTTCAACGTTGATAAGTATGAAGAATGGTGATGTTCTGGTAGAATTTCCTGAAAAGAGATGACGTGTTAATCCTGCTTAATAGTTGTATAAATTTTCAAAACACCTCTGTAAAACGAAAATCTTTGTTATCGTTGTAAACAATGTATTGTTGGCCCATTTATCCCATCCTATCCAATCCTTGAGCCCGTAATTACAATAGGATATTGCGAACACATGTTGTTTTCACAAAATAGTTCGGGCTCGATTAAAATTCGTAAATATTAACACGCTTCTCACTTGCAACACTTTCTTAACAGATCCAGGATTTCAAACGTGGAGATGAAGTCATAATCAAATCTGAAAAGAACTTGGTTAAAGATCTCCAGGAGGGCCACGGAGGCTGGAACGAAGCAATGATCTCAGTAAGTCCCAGCTATGTTACTTACTCAGCTTTGATGTCATTTCCTTTTGGAAATATAATAATTCTGCCAATCATAAAATATGACAAGTTTATGCCAGTGTAACATGCTTAAAACAGTGGCAGCCATGTAAAACGATGTGTTCAAAAACTCACGTCTTTAGAATTACGTCACATATCCTTTCGATAAAGATTCACTCTGAGGGAAAAATGAGGAATTATTGCGGGCGAAAGGAGGAGCCCGCAGTCCTTATCTCCATGTAGTTATTACGCATGCCTCCCATGTATGTAGCCAGCATTCGTTTAGACTTCCACTAAGAATGAATGGAATGCACAAAACGTTATTGGATCATGAGCGTTTCGACCTCCTACCATAAGTGAAACGTACGCAAAGCACAGCGTTGGACAAAGTGTTTGGACCTCCGATCGTTGTCCCCCGCACCCCCTAACCTTTGGTCATTACTAATTGGGTTAAAAATATTCAAGAGAGCTGAAGATGCAGGTCAAAGATGATCTTCAAATGGCTTAACCTGGTAGTCCAGAATAGACGACACCGGTATAGCATAAGTGATTGCGGTCATTAAATTTGTTACTCATCAGTTTTACATCATCCACTTTCGAACTTCGAGCATCATTAAAAACAAAGAAGCTGAAGATTGCAGGAGGCCCGTACAAACAATTTGAAGGGTTTCCAAACTTAAAGCCTCCTTCTAGCTGGCAGGATTGTTAAATCTGGGGTACACAATTTGATTCGTAGAGCCATTCGGCCGTCAAAAAACTACAACACCCGCTTCGAATCCTACCAGCTATTCAGGCTGCAATCTTGGACAAAAACTGTTTTGAAAATTGCATAATTGAAAAGCCTTTTTCTAAACATCGTAGCTATACAGATTTTTCCCTCTCCCCTCCCCTGGAAACAATGTTGTTGTGTGTTGAAAAGAACGCCTGATTCGTCGGCGTTTGTAGGAAGCAACATTGAACTGGGGGAAGGGGAATTCTTTCCGCAAAGCCGTTGTTTTGGATATAGTTTTGTTTCCTATAGGACACTGTACATGGTGGGAAAAGCGTTCTCAAGTAGTTTTGCTAGGGATTTCAGAACGCTTGGTGCTGCTGATTATTGACTGCTATTAGTTAATAAGTAATTCGAGTCGCCCTCGGTCGCGGGTCTCCAATTACACAACGATGCCTAAAGAGTTCTTCTGCTGCTTTAGATTCTTGGTCGTACAGGTAAGGTCCTGGAGGTTGATGGCACGGGTGACCTGGTTGTTTCAGTGGAAGGTGATAAGTGGATGCTGAATCCTGCCGCAGTCACGTGTGTTACTGACCCAGAACCCGGTGAAAGGTCGCCTAGCGAAGATGGAAGCAATGAAGATCCATTAGGTATAATCATGGATAATTTCGATGTTGTTACGTTATTATTGCGAACGTGCATTGCTCCGACTTGTACGCCCTAGTGACGAATTTTAGCATTGAGGCTATTCTTAAGGAAAGTGACGATCGTTGACATACAAACAGGTTATAGACACATGTAGTGGCCAGTACCATAGGTTTTTAGAAGTCAGATGAGAAAGTTAAGACCAAATAAATTACACAGATCAAATGTACCCAACTGTCCCATCCAGCATATTTCCGCCCAGGATTTATAGATCACCTGTTAAATTTCCCTGCATTTAAGTGAACTCATTCATAACACTTTTACAATATGAACCACTTTTTCAATTTTTCAGGTTTATTTCGCCTTTTTAGGGATTTTCTTGGTATGCATCACGCTTTTGAGCAAATGGCGGAACACAGGGCCGTCAACCTTGTTAGCGCTTGCAAGTCCAACCAACTTTCCAGAGTCAAAGAAATTCTTGATGCCAATCCAGAAATGGTACTGTAACATTAATTAGACAGTTTGGGGTTTGGGCAAGAGACTGGGCCAGTAACATGTCGAACTGCCTTATGGGACTGTTTGTGGGAACGAATCTCGACCCAGTTTTCCGTGCAACATAGTGATAGCCAATCAGAGGAGTCCCATGGTGCAATTCGACAAAACAACATTGCCGATACAAGGCATCAATGGACGCACTTGCACTAATTGAACTGACAGAGTGGTAGCTTGATTTATTGACCAAGAGAGAGTTATTGGACAAAGAGGGAAACAACCAGTCTAGTCTAGGATCTGTGAATCTCATGAAAGTTTTTCGGTTTTCGAGGAAATCCACAAACATTTATTCAGTGTTGCCAAGAGAGAGTAATGGGACATGATGCTCTCTTGAGGTGTTGCCATTACAATATTCTACATTGCTTGCTTTGGGGCAGTCGCGCAAGGTCTTGATGACGTATCTAATAATCGATTAACCGTCGGACGCAAAGGCAAAGTCATACCCCCAAAGTGGTACAAGGGGGACCCCCCGCCCCACCCCACCCCTGAGTTTTTGATTTGTTGGAGTAATTTGAAACGATCGATTTTGCCTTCAGTGGAAAGCCTTTGATCTTCTCTACAACATGAGGTATATTTTATGGCGGTGGATTGGATCTTGGATTTTATTAAGAATTAGAAATCAAGTAAAACACTGACAATTGATAATTTTTTGCGCTTATCATGAAAAATAAGACATAAGTAATTACATTGACTTTGCATCACTTTATCCACGAAATTTATTTTTATTCCGGATAGACGTTGGAAAAACGTACATTTTCACTCAAAAATGGCTTGACCACCAGCTACTTATGACGTCATATCTCGCAACCATAATAACTAACCATCACTAAACTTGTCTCAAAATGCGTGCGAGGAATGAACGAAGAGCTACAGAAAACTTCAGGTGCTGATGTTTTATCGTCTAAGAAAACAAAGCAGAAAAACCTTAGGGGGGTCCCCCACCCCCCTTATATGTCCGAGGGTTAATATGTACGGACGTCCTAAGAATCAGAATTCCGTTTAATTACAACCTCTAACAATAACTTTTATTAGTGAAATTCACAAACCCCGGCCAACGCCCTAAGTTTCTCTCTCCGTCTCATTGTTCTCTCTTGTTGGCTGCTGGTTGAAGGAAGTCTGACATTTAGCTAATACTTATGGTCAAAAATCATCCTCGGTTCTATTACTTTACAACTACAATTAACGACTCCCAACAGCGTAAAGTAGTGTTCGGCATTCTAACTTCTCATACTAAGAACACAAATATTTGTTGCTGTTTTATTTTCGTTACTGGAGTATAAGAATGCCTTTTTTTTCCTCCGCAGATTGACGAGGTACAAGGTGCACATTCAGGGCTTCAAATAGCATGTCATGAAGGCCATTGTGACATCATCAGAGAGTTAATCGACAGGGGAGCTAGTCGAGAAATCCTGGTAAAGACAAAGATATGTAGAGCTTAGAAATAGAAGGGTATTTGCAAATATGATTCATTCGTGTAATTTTACATATGTAAATGCAAATGATTTTCTCAGTTATGTTATTTGTTTTTTTTTTTGTTTTTTTTTTCATACAATCTATCTAAAGAAAAAAGCACTGGATTACGCTCAAACCATTAATATTCCATATCACCTAAAGCTTCTAACTCAAACTATCGGCAAATGTAAATAAAAAACTGCGAGGATTATCTTAAGGGATTCTTCATGGACGCAGAAATCGAGGTAAAGACGTTAACCATAATAATATATGTATCAAAAGAAACCAGCCTTTCATAAGCACGCTATGGATGTCTTCAGAGATCTTTTTCATTAGATTTCTCTTGTTTCAATAATATAACATTCTTTTCCTTTTTTTTCTTTCAAATATACAGGATTCACAGGGATATACCGCTTTTCATCACGCAACATATGGGTAAATTTACTTCGTAGATTTTCCATAAACCATTACATGTTTTATTACCGTCTCCATCGAGCACTTTTTGCGTCCGCTAAGCTCAAAAAATCACACTAGCAAAGGAAGAAGGAGAGAATAAAAAAGAGCGAAGAACGAGGATGAAGAAAGGGGGAGAAGAGAGAAAAGCAATGATTAGTTTTTATGTCGGCTACTTTGGAGATGTTTTGGCGGAGAAAAACAAAGAGAAAGAGGACCATTTGGCGATAACGTTTTCAAAATTCGGGCTAGTTATGTAATCATTTACCGTCCTTCTTTTTACAACAAAATATCTCCTATGAATGAGTGGTAATTTTTTAAAGAAAAGCAAATAACATATGGTATTTCAACTTCAGGGATAAAACTGGAGAAGCATTGAAACTATTGTTAGAGAAAGGCTTTGATCCGAATGTACAGAACAGTGACAACAAAAGTACCCCACTGCATCTGGCTGTGAAAAACGACAATGATATGGCGGTACGGATCCTGGCACAGAGCCCTGAATGTGATGTTAATCTCCAGGTACCATAACTTCCATATAATATTTTGAATAAGGGCAAAAAAGATGTCTGTTTTTGAAAAGTATGTAATATTTATATCTAACCATTTACACCATACTACGACGCCACACAAAAGCCTCGAGTGCATTGTCCCAACAATTACTTTGACGTTTGTGGGCACCAGGATGGCCGAGTGGTTAAGGCGTTGGACTTAAGATCCAATGGATGTGTTGTCCGCATGGGTTCGAACCCCACTCCTGGTAATTTTGTAAACAATTTTAGCTAAGTAAGAGAGCATGAAAAAAGAACAAGTAAGTTTTGAACATTTTGTTAGTTATTGTTTCTGTTGGCGTTGTTTTGTTTAGTTTTTGTTTGTTTATTTGTTTGTTTTGTTTGTTTTTTTACTTGTTTTATTATTTTTATTTTCATTTGGAAAATTATAGTAAATATCGATATCGGTCTTTCGGTCTTAGGTCAATACTACCTTTTTTCAAGAGAGAAAAATGGGATAATGAGGGATTCTAAGCAGGGCGTTGGCCGGGATATGTCATTTCCCTAAAGTTATTTTTAGAGGTCGTAATTAAACGGATTGCGAGGTCTGATTCCTCTGACGTCCCCAACTTTTAATCGATTGTTAGATACGTCATCAAGTCCACGCGCGACTGCCTCAAAGCAAAAAATGCAGAAAATTGTAAAGGCGACTGTTGAATAGGCCTTTTGCACGATGGCGTCATTTTACTACTACGACCAGAATTCTTTTGTTCTTTCTTTTCATATTTAAATTTGGTAGCTGCAGTGAGGTTTAAATAACTAAAGCCCGATTTGCACAAGAAAGCAAAACCCTGAAGGACCCTAGTCATAGTAGTAAAGTGACGCCATAAATCATGCAAATGGCCTATTCCCTCTTAAAAACGCTGAATGTGGACCTCTCCGGAAACCAACTTTCGATTAATTCAAGCGTTTAATTGGTTTTAGAATACCTTTGGTCAAATTCACATATCCAGAAACCAACTTCAAACATCCCAAGGGCTAGACTGGAGGTTTCCCAGTTTTTACTTTACAGGGTACAGTAAATGAATAGACCCAGAATTAAGGGCTTGGTGGGTAGGTGGATGGATAGTTAAAAAGAATAACTGGAATGGATGGGAAAATGATGAAGGGGTGCATGAATGGGAATAATGAAGGAGTGCAGAGTACGTGGTAGCAACTGAGATGACAATGACTAGTGCGGTGGAAATATGAAAACTTAGCCCGTCCCAGGCTCGGGATGACCTAAAGAAGCAAAAGGAGTGCGTAAAAAAAATCAGTTTGACTAGGGAAGCGTATGATAAGGAGAACCCTTGCATTCTTCAAGTGTGTAGCTATTTACCCTCTACTACTACAATTCTACTTATTTTTATTTTTTTTGTTTATTTTAATTTATTTCATTTTAAAGGACGAGGCTGGTGATACTCCTCTATATGACGCCATTGCCAGTGAAAAACACAACATGGTAGACATGCTGTTGAATAACCCGAGGCTTTCAATGACAGTGACTAATAAAAGAGGCTTCAATTATCTCCAGTTTGCCGTCTTGAAAGGCAATACAAGGTACGTGATAAAAATTCGACGAAGTAAATACCCACTTCAAAAATTGTATTTCATCGGATATCGAAATGCTGAAAAGAAACGTATCAAAAGCCGGAAGGCCGCCAGGATGCTGAGTTCATCAGATATCTTAATACTAAAGAAGTAGTATAACAAACACGAGTAGAAGTTTTTTTCTCTCCTACAATCCAAACACTGAGGAAGTATGTATCACAAATGAAAAGGAGTGTTTTATTGGATATCTACGCACTGAGAAGCAAAGTATATCAATCACAGAGGGAATATTTTATATGATATATTCAAACACTGGGAAGTAAAACGAGAAGGAGTGATGCAGCTGATATTCAAATCTGGAGAAGGTCCAAACTTTAGGAAAAACGCCCACAAACAAGTTGCGCGCGTTACTATAGTGTCAAGTGCGATGTACAGTTTGTTCCAGTAACGGCGAATACAGGGAAGCAGAATAATGTAGATTTTAAATACATCCTTTTTGCTACAGAGCTGTGGAAAAGTTACTTGCAAAAGCGGGGGATATTCTGAATGTTACCAAAAGCGATGGTTTCACAACTCTTCATATTGCTGCAATAAACGATCATCGTGAAATAGCCAAGCTTCTCTTGCTACAGGTAAATGTAGATTGAAAGAGGATTGTTCCATCAGCGTAAGGGCGTCCCCGACTAGTTGTATCAGGCGTATGCGCAATTTCCTGGGTTGGCCTGTGGCCCAACATTTCAACTCCACTGGCCACAGTATTTCTGATGTCCAGGTGCGTGGGTGTGGCATTATGCAGTGTTACTAACATTCAGCGAAGGCAACGTGAGATGCAGTTGAGTTTTCAAACAGGCACCGTTCAGCCGAAAGGACCGAATATCAATTTCAGTTTCATTTGAATTGGGACGTTATATACATCCTGAGTGCACAATTACGCGTGCGCCTGCTTCGATCATTTTTATGATGTCTATGATATTGCGTGGTACTGTACAACGGTTTTTTCTCACACTGAAGAAGGGTCATAAACCCGAAACGTTTGTGTTTTTTTGAAAACATTTGACACTTTTCGATATTTCTTTACCGAGTATCACCTTATCAGCTGCTACGCAATTTGTAGCTTGCGTAGGCCAATGCGCATGCGTAAAAGGGAAGGACAAGGGTAAAGGAAGAGGCAAACTGACCTTTCAGCTATAAAAAGAAATGCAGAAGTGCAGGATGCAGGATCGTTTGCCCTAAGTTTGCAATACCCGCATGGATAGATTAGCTTTTAACCTGATTGTACATGCGGCCCAGTGCTGTTTGTTATATTTTGCACTTGTGATATTATAAGTAAACTTTCAAAAAAAAACTTGCGAGTGAATGTTGCATTTTGCTCTGACATTTTCAGTTTTCTTTATCAGCCAGGATGCCGTGTCGATGCTCCGACTGTGGAAAATCAGACAGCTCTTCATTTAGCAGCAAGTGAAGGTTACTCAGTCATGTGCGAAATTCTCCTGGACTTTGGCGCATGCGTCAATGCAAAGGACAATGACAACGATACACCGCTGCATATCACCCTGGCAAAGGAAACAATCTTCAAAGGCACCATCGGTCAACTGGTGAGTTGATCAGCTCGTAACTGAGGGTGATAGCGGGTTAAGTTTCAAACGGCTGCCTTTTTTTCGTCTCGTCGAACGTACGAAAGCCTGCGCTAACACAGGAAACAGCTTTTATTACTTTTTATATAGGTTAAAAAAGACGCACCAAATAGATAATAGGGCCTTTAAGATCCAACGACGTAGACGGCAACAAGAAGTTCAAAAAAAGCAAAAGTTTTAATAAGCAAAACAACAACTTTGCACGTACATCACGCTTTTTTGTACATTTCTTTCCTGTTTTTGCACGACTTCGACGTGAAAATGCCTAATGTCGCGTTTTAAGGAAGGCATAAACAAGCAACGATCAAATTTCATTTCTCTTCCTGAGCTTGAATATGGTCACTTAAAATTCAGCTTCAGGAGGGTTCACCTACGTTTGACAAATTAAGTGGGTAGGAATAATCGCTGTTACGACTAAAAGAACGCAAATTCACTTTTTAAGCGACGTTGTCGTTGCCGTAGCGTCGTTGGATCTTAACGTCCCTAATATAGTCTCAGTCACGCTTTCAGTCATATAAAATATGATTATCCTTATTTTCACAGTCTGCACTTCACTTGCTATTAAGGGGAAGAAACAGTGTAAGTTATGCGGCCGTCTCACGTTGTTTGTTAAGTTATGGTGCCGATGTGCTTCAAGCGAATAAGAATGGAGAAACACCACTGGACAGATGTGATGGGACAGAAGTCGAACAGCTTATCCGTGAAATCGCAAACTCGGCAGGGTAACGTTGTTTTATTTTGTTTTAATTTACCTTTTGTGATAGACTTTTTTTTTGTTTTCATTCATTCATTCATCCATTCATTTGTTCTTTACTTAATTTTTATTTCTTTACTTATTTTATTTAATAGTAAAGTCAAGCTCTTCATAGGTAATGTTAACACAAACAGCAGCGACTCATCGAAAATTTAATCCGAGAACAACAAGAACAACAAGTTTATTCAGTATTACCATTTTGTACGGGTGTTACCGATTAAAATAACAATAAACTGCTAAATTTAAGGAAATGAAGATATAATGGAATGGTAGAATTAACTATGTTTCTTTCGTCTTTCAAATGCTTGAAACATGAAATTAGCAACTAGCCTGCTGATATGTGAATCAGTATTGTTAAAAAGAAAACAGACTTTATCATGGATATTGTAATTTGTAAATAATGTATTTCGGTCGTTGATTTTAATAAAAAGAGTCTTTCTCAAATCATTACAGTGATCACAGTGAAATAATATGTGCAGTTCATTTTCAATTTTCAGCGGATACCCTTTTTGACAGCTGTCAATTGACCATAAGGATGTCCACTATCAAGTTAAACACAGATTGTATATGCCTCGGACACCTAGCTAGTAATGCCCGGTTATTACAAGAAAACAGCGAATAAGAGCGCGCGTACAATTGTAGCCATATAATAAAATGAATTTATATTTTAATGACATGCTTCTTTAAATCTCATGTGGACATAGCTTCAATTACGTCATTTACTGCAAACATTCTCTAAGCTTTGATATACAAAAAGAATGGTATTTCAGCGGCAGTTTTGAACCAAGTACCACTATAATTTCATAACACTAAACATAAGAACTTTGTTCAATTCTTGTTTTGAACGCCATTGCTTGTACTGGAAGAGTTTAAAGTAAACAAAAATTTACCAGGAGTGGGGTTCGAACCCACGCGGACAACACGTCCATTGGATCTTAAGTCCAACGCCTTAACCACTCGGCCATCCTGGTGCTTACGTGGTGAGTGGTTTCTTATCAACTCTAACTATCTATGTACACGATCGAGACTGAGAAGATTTAAAGTAAAAAAAATACCAGGAGTGGGGTTCGAACCCACGCGGACTACACGTCCATTGGATCTTAAGTCCAACGCCTTAACCACTCGGCCATCCTGGTGCTTACGTGGCGAATGGTTTCTTATCAACTCTATCTATCTATGTACACGATCAAGACTGAGAAGAATTTAAAGTAAAAAAAATACCAGGAGTGGGGTTCGAACCCACGCGGACTACACGTCCATTGGATCTTAAGTCCAACGCCTTAACCACTCGGCCATCCTGGTGCTTACGTGGCGAGTGGTTTCTTATCAACTCTAACTATTTATGTACACGCTGAGAAGAATTTAAAGAAAATAAAAAAATTTCCAGGAGTGGGGTTCGAACCCACGCGGACTACACGTCCATTGGGGGTTCGAACTTAACCACTCGGCCATCCTGGTGCTTACGTGGCGAGTGGTTTCATCAATCAACTATTTATGTGACGGGAAAATTTAAAGAAAAAAAAATATTTCCTTAGGGGTTCGAAACGCCACGTTACACGATCAAGACTGGTGGGAAAACGAAGCATTAGAATATTCCTTAGTGTTCGAAACTTTGCCAGGTTAAAATGATTATATGCCCTAATCATTGGGTAATGAATTTTCTGCCCTTTCCAGAAATGCACAAGTTAAAAAAGTTCCAAGTTTTGGTGGCACCAAGGTTACAAACCCAGAGCAAAACGTATCTCAGGTTTCAAGTCGCCCTGGCTCAGCGTCCACGGGGATGGAGGCTCAAGGACGGGCACCTTCAGAAAGAGATGACCAGAACGTTGTTCAGGATGAAGAATGCAGTGATACAGGCCACCAAAGCCCAGGCAGCGCAATGCTAAAAGATGATGAAGATGAAGATGTGAACATGCAAGAAACAGAAGAAGGAGAAGAAAATTTGGAAGAAGAACCTCTAGAAAACAACCTTCTGGACAATACCATGAAGCAAATTCAGGTAACAAGTACAAAATTATACTTATATAAATGAATCCTTTGCTCGCAATAAATCCAGTTGAAGCTGGTGTGCGACAAAATATGATACCAGTCTTCAAGTATGCGGTCTGCGTTTGTCGCATACCGAACTGGAGAAGGTTTTGCGTGGCCTTGATTTAAAGTATCTTTACTCTTAAGATGGTCTGGTGGAGACGTAGAAGTAATTATCTTACGGCATGAAAGGTAATCGAAGACAGTAAAGATTAATTAATTAAAGATTAATTCTAGATTCCACGCTATGAATTCCAGATACCAGGTACTGGATTTGGGATTCCAATCGTTATCGGGATTCTGGACTCCTTGAGCTGAATTCCGGATTCTAAAGTCAAGGATTCCTGAGTCCACAGGCAAAAATTCGGCAGATTCCGGAATCTGGATTCCCTTGCATGGGGTGAAGTCGTCACTTATTGAGTCCATTTTGTATGAATGAATATCAAAATCTAGAAGTGTCAGAATTGTTTCTTTTGAAACCAAAGAAAGCATCATATATGTTGTGTGGCCATTAACATAGAGAAAATCGGCGTTCTTTGGTTCAGATCTCTTAACTGTCTTCTGAAACTTTCCCACCATGAGTTTCCAACGAGTTTTCCAAACGTGCATTTTGTTTTGTTCATTGTTTCTGTAGGAGAATATTGTTCTGGAAGTCACAAATCAAGTGCCACAAGAATCTTTCACCGCGGAATTCTCAAACAGCAGCTCAGATGTAGCCGTTCAAGTGAAGGAGATGAACAATGGAGAATTAGTGAATGATAGCGGTGCGGATCAGGAATTTGGAGAAGGGGAACAAGAGCCTAACCAAACAAACAGGCAGAGAGAATCACAAACAATTGTAGAAAATACTGAAAACGAGGTACAAAAAGAGATAGAAGGCAAAGAAGAGAAACCAAAGTGCTACATCTGTGAGGAGAATGAAGCTGAAGTGGCGTTTAAGCCCTGTGGCCACACTGTTGTATGCACAGGTAACTAGAAAAAAAGTCTCGAAAACCTTCATGAGTACTAACCGTGAGGATCAGGGCCTCCCAAGCAAGTTAAGCCCTGTCTGGCGGGGTTATAAACTGGATGGGTGATGTTCGTCGCATTAATAATGTTATTAATTTATTTCCCACATTTGATGATGTCGGTAATGCTGACATCATGTTGTTGTTGACGGCCATCGTCTCCACTGGAATTAATACACGTGCTCCGCATTGCCAGAAATTAGGGACAAGATGGCGGTTGCGCGTGCGCACCAAGGCCACAATGGCTGCGAATTCGTGTAAGAAAATGTATGGAGAAAAGGAAACTTTTTCAAATATATCGATTATGAGCTCACGGGTGTTCGGTGCACGACTCGAAACATGTTAAGTGCTGTGCAACCTTCGCATCTGGGTTAAAAATAGCTAATTAGAAGTAGGTTTACTTACTTCCCGAAGTGGCCACTTTTATCTCTCGTTGTACGCTCCATTTCTCCATACATTGTCTTAAAATCTTGCCGAGGTCATGCTTAATACTCGTCGATTAGAGGATAAAGCCTTCACTGAAGTAAATTTGCACGACTCGATATCACTTCTGCGATAGAAGATGTTTCCAAAACAGTCGTTAAAAGGACGATTTTTGCACTGGAAAATACTTCCAAAGGCGCATTATTTCCCGCAGTTTTCCTTCTGTAGTCAAGTAATGGACGCCATGGTTGCGAATGACTTATTTCGGTCGGACAAAGCTTCACAACTCCAAACCTCACCGAATCGCCATTTTGGTTGTTGCTACAACTCCAGAGATGCTTCACGGGATATAAACTAGGTTCCAGCCATTCAAAAATCCTCGATTAGCCTACCAGGCTTGGTTTTAAAACAAAATTGTCACGAAAATGTCACGAAAATGTCACGAAAGGTACCGCCGCGTACTGTTTTGTTGCTATCAGCCGCTCGGCCGAGTATAAACCTAACATTTTCTTGCAAGGTGTTTCATTCCAGCGTTTTTCTTCGTAAAACAGATCCACAGAGCTCAAATTATCTAAAAAAATCGCAGGGGATACGCTTTCCCTGACTACGATCGTTTTTGTCCGCCATTTTGGAAATGAGATTCCGCTGACAATTAATCACGGGCGCGAAATGTCCACTATTTCTGGCAATGGGGGCAGATAACAGTTCCTTCTACATGTTGTTTTAACATTGGATGACTAAATTGATTTTTGTACATGTCTACTAGAATGTGCATCTCGACTAAAGCGATGCTTGGAGTGCCGCGCAGAAATAACAGGGAAAGCAACAAGAGGTATGCATGGTTAAATTCATTATCATTATTTTCTTAGCAGAACCATTCTTGTACCTGTATACTAAACGCGGATTATTATACGTTTGTGTGAAACTGCCCACCTACCCTTCCCTTAAGCCAACATTTTGCCCTAAGTGAGAAGTAAGTGTTAATGTTCGCTTAAGGGAGGGGTAGATAGGCAGTTTCGCAGAAACGTTTTATGATCCTTAGCGCAATGATACACTAGCGCTTCGCCCCATGTAAGGTAGTCCGGATTCAGGAGTCCCCGAAATTTATGATCCTGGAATTCGAAATCCTTAGTTTTGGAATCTGGAATCCTACTGACGTTTACAATCTGGAATCCAAGTCAGGGGTTTCAATAGGCACCGACGACTGACGAAACATGTCGGCTACTTTGCTCAGAGAAGTCGGCTTTTTGTCAAAAAGAAGAAGCAGCCAAGTAGTTTTCATAATGTCCTAAACAAAAAAGGTACAGTCATAAAATCTGAATGAAACGTAATTATGAAGTGTTTTCATAAAAGTCCACTTGTCGTACATTATGCTTTAGTTATATGAACGCTGTATTTCAGTCCGCAATTTTTCTTTTTAGGTTTAAGTAGAATTTTTTCATCTACAAATGTATGCAATTAAGTTATCGTCATTTGATCGTTGCTTGCGGGAGTTGCTTGTGTGGCTGATAAAACTTTGGGGGAACAAGCTAGGGTGGCGTAGTGGTGAGGGCACTCGCCTCCCGCCAATGTGGCCCGGGTTCAAATCCTGGCGTCGACGCCATATGTGGGTTGAGTCTGTTGTTGGTTCTCTCCCTTGCTCCGAGAAGTTTTTCTCCGGGTAGTCCGGTTTTCCCCTCTCCTCAAAAACCAACACTTCCAAATTCCAATTCGATCTGGAACACACGGACACGTTTAAACGAGTTCATATAAACTCTTAAGTGCTTCATGTTCCTCGCATCAATAATGTTATTAATTTATCTCCCACGTTTGATGATGTCGGTAATGCTGACATCATGTTGTTGTTGACGGCCATCGTCTCCACTGGAATAAGTCTAATCGTGAGGATTAGGGCCTCCCAAGCAAGTTAAGCCCTGTCTGGCGGGGTTATAAACTGAACACTGGAAATCGCATTGTTGGGCTTTGAAATTTCAACATTTTGTGGAGAAGCACTTTTAACTAAAACCAAGTTATCCTCTCTTGCTAAAACCCATCACTGCTGTGCATCCTATTTTAGCCTAAGAAAACAGCCGATACTCGACGATGCCACCACTGCTTTTTCTGCGAAATCACGTCAGAGAAAACGAGCGCAGAAATTCCATACTGATGTCGAGTCGCTACCCAGATCTGGATAATGCTTCTGATTGGTCGTGAGAAATTTGCTTCAAACCGGTACTGGCCTCGCGAAATGTCGGCTGTTTCTTAGGCTAATCCGACGCGCCTTTTTAAGAATAACCTTATTTCGCTGGATAGTCCTGGTTATATAGGGGCATTCTCCTCACGACTTAACTGATCTCGGCAGCCAGTTCTGGCAAATGGTAAGCGCCCTTTGTCAAGATTGGTTTGAACCTGATCAATTGTAAAATATTCCTAAGATATTGAAGTCCTCATGACTATGTACTATCTGAGTGAAAGGAAAACTTCTTGCCGTATAGACCTCTTTTACAAAGGCGGCCTATTGATATATTATTTTTAAATGTATGATAATTAGCCTTTCTGACCTCGTTTGAAAGTAAGAATTTTTTTGTGTTTTGCACATGCTAACGAGGTCAGATAGGTTAATTATCATAAATATAAAAGAATATATTAATTAATGGGCCGCCATTATGAGAGTGGTTTATATTCTAAGTTGACTATCATCCATTTTCTCCATTAACTGCTTCGGCATCGGCAAGAAGCAGCAAGTTAATGAATTATTTTTATTTTTCCTGATATTAGATGGCACACCAATAATCGGAATCAACGACAAATCACTTACAGCAAAATACCAGTTGCTGGAAAGAAAGATGCGGAAATTGGAGGAGGCTTTTGTGTGCTGCATTTGCGTCGAGAGAAAAAAGAATGTTATTTTCCTTTGCGGACACGGGACGTGTCACAGCTGTGCGGAGCAGCTTAAAACTTGCCCCATTTGTCAAAAGCCAATTGAAAAGAAAATACCAACGTACTAACTATACTCAGTTCAAGTATTTATCACCTCACTCTATAAGTTAACCCCATCCAGTAGCCAGATCGGGGAGGAAAAAATAAAATTCGTTCTTTGCCCTCACGAACCTCATTCTCTCTTGGCCATCAAATATGAAATATTGTAGCTGGTAACTGCATCAAGACCAACGAAAAAACACAAGAATCTAAAAATTCGTTTGGTGCGGCGGTCCTTTGTTTGTGATTGATATGCGAGAGGTTGTCGGGAGCAAGCTAGTTTTTGAAAGACATGTCTGTGAATATTTTCTTTCTTTTTTTTTTGGAATGGAGATGAGAAGTCTTTACGTCACGTTGCCATGGTAGCAAAATTTCTGGACGACGAGGAACCGAAAATTCACTTAAAAAGTGAATTTGTACTTTTTCAAACTTCATCGATCGCATTCAATTTCACTTAATTTGCCAAATGTTGGCAATCTCTTTTGGGGCTGAATCCGAAAGGACTGTCTCTAATTAAGTTAAGAATAAAAAAAGAAAATTTTGTATTGTGTTCATCAAGCGGGCGCATTAAATTAGGAAGTTTCATGTCGCAGTCGTGCAACGACGGCTAGGAAATGTACAGAAAAGCGTGATGCCCGTGCAAAACTGTTTTTTGCTAATATAACCTATTCCTTTTTTTGCCATTCTCGTTGCCTTCGCGGTCGTCGTTGCTTAAGCTCCGTATTGTTGTGATCCAGAAATTTTGTTACCATGGTAACGTTACGTCACACTCCTTTTTCACTCAAATGGCTGGTAGTTTTGCTAGGTTTCTTTTCAAACATCTGCTCGATATTCTAAGATTAAAAACAAAAAACCTTAGAAAATTAGTAGAAATAAACATCTTCTATGTAATGTTTAGTGTTAAGAGACTTTAATTAAGGTGTCATATGTTATTCGATTTTGAGCGTATTCTCACCTAAAGTAGTAGATGTAGTTCAGTTTAGCACCGAAAAGGCTTCAAGGTCTCGTTTGCCTTCCTAATAAAGATTCAGTTATAACTCTTAATAACCTGCGATTTCTCCATAGCTGAATTAAAGGGTTTATAGAGGAGTTAAGAAGTGTGATTGCCATTGACCAGGGAAATACGACATTAGCGTACAAACCAGACGGCTGTGTAACGCTTAGAATAGCTGTTGGTATGAAAAGTAGTGAAAAAATTGCCAGGGTGATTCTCGTGTCCGTCAGAACTTTCTTCTCTCTCATCATTAATCGTTGAACCTCCAGTGAATTGATGTCGTTTATCACAGAATGATTGTAACGGAAGACGATCAAGATGGTTTTGACTTGATATATTGCTAGGGAGCCTAGCAACAGCACTGCAATGGAACCTCTGATTGCCAACTGAGTCCGTTCTGCGAATGCGCCTGACTCAATAAGCACAACTATTATGCCCCAGGTAACCCAACAACCACAGGCTAACCAGGTGGTCACTAGGAAAACAAAAATGACAAAATTGATATAACTCTATAATTTTCTTTGCTTGAGTTTTATTAGTCATATATTATCGACTTATTTAATGTTGTTATTTAGAAAATATTATTCCTGTGCATTAGATATTCCACTTAAAACTAGTGCTCTGGCATTGTAGTAAATTTAACATTTACTTTGTACGTAATTGCATATTTGTTTGTTTGAAGAACTCTCTCTCCCCACCGTATAAAGGTAAAACTATGAATGTCATTTAAAAGCAGGATTGTCAACATGATCTAAACATAGATGGACGCGCTCTCTGCAATAGACGTTTTTAGCATGAAAGTTTTTTTTTTTTTTAAATACAGACCACGTGATGGTACCTTGGAAGAACTGTTTTTTTTTTTCGAATTTTGTCCCATGCGCGTGCATCCATGCGCCCATGTATGCATTTTTAATGAAAAGACAAAAGGCAAATTCCCTGGAGAACATCACGTGGTCTTAATTGGGAAAACAAAACGTACAAGGTAAAAAGGTGTATTGTCAACTACTTGTTTGTTACGTAGCCTGCGTCACATACGCGATCTAACCCGGGTAAGTAACGTCTGCACTGCAGCGCCGATATATCCTTGTTCTGGGTCCCTAAAAGATTCATCAAATTACCGGAAATGCGTTTTGAATTTTACAGCAACGTGATTGGCAAATTTAGGATGTCTTTTTTTAACAGGCCAATCAAGGCGTGCACCAAGAGCCATAATGGGACATTATGGCTCTTGCGTGCACTCAAATCCTGATAAACAGGTGTTTGTCCAGTGCCCAGAACAGAGAACTTTTTGCTCCGTCTGGGGTGCATGATGGGTTGTTACTACGTGGTAAGCTAAGTTGAATTTAAAATATTAATAGGGACTGTCTTATTCACTTTTGGGTAAGTATTCGCCTACGACGTTCCCTGCCAATACCTTTTTGTGTGTGTATTTTCTTAATTTTCTGCTTTCGTTCGCTTTTATCAACCTCGTCAAAACTGAACCACACGAATTCGTCATCAATGTCTGTTTACTACGAGTCTACTGAATATATAGTCAACTAACTCCTGCGCAAGTGGAAAATCTCATAAAAATAATGATGATTGATAATGATAATAATGATGTTTTCGGCGACGACAACAATGATGATGACGATGATGATAATGATAAAGTGAGGTCACTTGGTTCAATGGTGGCTAGAACCCTGTCGAAGGTAAGCCGCTTAAAAGGCACTGATTACCATAAATGGACATGAACTGCATGGGACCTCAAACGAATATGCCGAGGAACGTACGATCTCGACCTGATCAACAAGAATATACAAAGTAAACATATTGAATTCTGCAAAGCTGATCGTAATACGTATCTCGTAGGGCAAGAGTCCAAGTGTCACGTTGATGTCTCGCAAAGAAAATATAGGATGGCCAAACCAACCAAACCATGAATGTGCAGCATATCGGATCTATGAAATTGACCCACGGCCATCCCATATATATTTTCGCTGCGAGAAACGTCCCTCCCGGAGAAACGTCATATGGCGTGATTCTGGGAGTGTTGGAGTTCAATGTCAGGGCTAAAATCAGAGTGAGCGGGTTATTTTTCAGCAGAGCTTCTCTGTTTGTTACGCCGTCCTGACGAGCTACAAAAATGGCGAAACAGCTGTCGACAGCTACAACCCCGCTCTGTTTTGGGTTCTTTCGGTGTCGCGTTAATGTCTTGCAAAGTTAATTTTCATGTAGTACGATCAGCTCTTTGCAGAATTCAACGTGTCTACTGATTATGATGCTCACCCTTCATTTTTCCTGGCGTTCTGTAACTTAAAGGGTGACAAAGAGCATTGTAGCGATCCCGAGCAATGCACACCAAGAGAAGAAAAGAACAACCAACACAAAATACAATCGCTGACTCAGTCACTCTTGCCTTACGATTTAGCGAGCAGCAGGTCACGTGTTCACGGTAAATAGCTAATCGAAGGTCAATGTATAAAGGCCTGGGTACCAAGGCAGCAATCAAGTCAACCAGAGTAAGGCTGAAGACCAGAATGTCACATGGCGTCTTAATCAAGTCTTTTTTCTTCATTACAATCGCAATGAGCAGATTTATTAATATGGCAAATGCTGCGCTGATGGAGTTTACTGTGCACAAAACGACATCATTGGTTTTGAAAAGAGCTTCAGTCTCCCACAGTATGAAAGGGGACAGCTGTTTACATTGTGCATTATATTCGGCCATCTTTTAGCTACAGCTTATTTCAGCGCCGTCTGTTGCAAGAGAAAAATGAAATAAAATAAGAAATAGGCTTTAGGGAAGGTTTGTTTTGAAAATGCTCCGCAAATGCCCAAGTAATGCATGTTTCGACTCGCAGCATTATCTGTATTTATTGAATATCTTTCACCATATATATGATGCAAAACACAAATAGGAGCGGGATTCCAATTTAATTGCGTCCTTACAGACAACCCAATTAGACTCTTGGACTCTTCTCCTGAACCAGAACCCAGCATAACAGTTTCATAACCATTTTTGATTCGTGATAAAAGCAACATCTACGTGTTCCGACAATCCGCAGAGTTGATGTCTTTTGTTTAACAAACAGTAAAATCAAGATTTTCACAGCAACCGCCCGGGAGCAAAATAATTTGAAATGAGCAAAGGACAAAGGACGGTTTGCTTATCACTGCATTTTTCACCGCGGCGCGAATCGTGATTTCAGTCGCGCGTGACATCTCAAAAAATAATATGCCATGCATGTGCGGAATAGTCTATGAGAGAAAATAACCATATGTCGGAGTTTAAATAGTGCAATATATACGAGGTGAGATCTTCTTGGATAGTTTGTTTTAATTAAAACAGGACTTATTTTTTCAATTGACCGCGTGCATCCGGTTCTCGGCCCGCGGCTTCTATACATGAAAATTGAAATGTGATTTTTAAGAATTTTCTTTTAAAAAAACTTATGGAATGTCCCGTAGCTGCATTAATTGAATCACGGCTAAAATCTAGGCGGAGATTTTAGAGACTTGAACATTGAAACGGATTGATTTCGGCACAAAGTTAGTCAGTCAAAGCTAAAATTTGAATTTTCTTCTCTTTTTTTCAATTTCTTTTTGATTTTGATAATTTTTTTTGCCTCGAGCTTTATTGGATCCGTCCTCAAAAAGCTTGTTTTAGTCATTTATGAGTTTGACACGATGAAGGCTTAAAATTAACTTTGTGCAAAAGTCAGTGTTACAATATCGCACCTCAATAATAATTTAAAAGTACTCTATTTTAAAGTATTTAAAATAAGGTACATTTGGTCTTTCAGCAGACTTTAAATATTTTATGTACAATCTGTTTTTATTAGTGGCTCAATTCAAATAGACCTCAAAACATACCCTATTTTATTTGAAAAATAGTCATATTTTGATTTGAACTCTGTTTGTAACTTTGTGAGTGGATGCGTCTCAAAATACATTTTCGATACAACTCAAAAAGTGTTACCCTATTTGTATTTAAGATACGGTCAGCAAGGCTCTCAAAAAATTTTAAATAGTCTATTTGAATTATGTTTGTAACTTTGTGAGTGGATGCGCCCAAAAATACATTTCAAAACAAAAGCACCCTATTTAAAAGTATTTAAATGAAATACCCTATTTTAATCATATTTATTAAACAAAATACATTGTAAATTGATGAGAGAGGTTTTCCTTTTGATGAAATATAATTTAACTACACTTAAGATATATTCCAACAGGGGCGAAAATTTAAATTTTTTTGTCAAATAGGATTAAAATATAGGAAAATAGTATTCAAATACTGAAAATACATTTTAAACACTTTAAAATCAGTTTCAAAATACATATGGTTTGGTAAGGGCAGGCTAATAGGAGAGGTTGGCCACACCACCGGGGTCTACGTCCGTTGTTCTTTTTCGAACAGTGGTGTGGGTTCTTTTACGTTCCACAAGAACAGATCAGTGAAAGTGCTGTGAAACGGAGACCTACGGTTTTTCGTCCTTATCCCAGAAGACTAGAAAGTATAACCGTTTACAGGTGTCCTAGACTGCAAAAACAGTCCGTATTTTTGCGTATTCAAGTACGTGCGAGCAGTCAAACAAAAGGTCTGGAGCGAGGCTAAAACGAAGAGCAAGGCTAGGGAGAGACGCTACGGGTGTGTAAGGTTCGTGCTCTTCGTGCGTGTGAGACGGTTTTGCAGTCTACAGATGTCATTGAAAAGGTAGCACTTTCTCCTCAGTTATTTAAGACCCTGAGTGTTGTTCCGGCCGGAACTTGAACCTGTGATCTCTCGCTCAGCAGACCGGCACTCTCTCAACTGCAGGGTGAGCTAACCAGGCGGCGGTGTAGTGGTCAAGCTGTTAAGTAATTATCGGGGTAAGGTGGAAAGCAATTTCTTTTTTTATGCGGCAATGTGCTTTCCCCACCGTCATATTAATGTTCTCATATTTACACAGGGAATGCATAAGCCTAAAGAAAGGTCATTTATGCGAAAAAATGTATTTAAACTCCATTTTGAAAGGGTTTAGAGTGTGTATGTGCTAATAGATTCTGACCAATCATAAGAGTTGTAAAAAAAGTCAAGAAAAGTTTACAGTTCCCCACATAGGATTTCTATGTTATTTAGACTGAGACGAGATTTTGTTATATGGAAGTTGGTTTGAAAAGTAAGAATGAATATTACTGTTTTATGAAGTTTTCTTAACTTTTGCTGTTTAAGCCAATCAGAAGTATGGTATAGACAATAGTAAAGTTAGCAACTTTTTCCATTCGAACATGATGTTCATAGCCGTTGTTGCTTTCCTTCTTATCTGGACCGTTACTTAATTAACACTTCACTGCATGCGTCACTGCAGTCTAGCTCTGCATGAGGGTCTCAATGGGGTTAACCGTCAGCTGTCAAGAGGCCTAAAATTTAACTGTCAACCCTCACAAAAGGTCATTTTTTTTTACCGCCAATCGTCAAAAATGCAGATTAATATTTACTGTAAAAAAGTTTCAAGGTACTTCAAATCTCACTGTGTTTTTACGGGATTATGGCTCCTAAAGAACCTCTAAACTGGAAAAACCAGTCCCCATGTTTTCAAAAACTGACTCTTTCTATACAAAACAAGAACACACAACTTGCTTTTAATCCGGTTGTGATGATAAATAAAAACTTAAATAATAAAAATGAAATAATAAAGTGATCGAGAACCCCCTTGACGAATTGTAAATTTCGTCACCAAATCCGAAATGATTGGTTGGTGGATTATCCAATCCCACCAGGCTAGGGGAATCTATTCACAGCGCTCTAATAACAAACATGTCGTTCATTGGATGTCAGTTTTCAGTACAGTGGAACCTCGCTTTACGGACATTTTCCAATTGACATGTGTCGACAACCCCCCTTTACGTAGCCTCCCACGCAGGGAAAATTAAACAACTTTTTCTCGAAAAAGTGTCTGCTTTAGTCTTTGTATCGATAAAACAATATGCTCGTGACGTTTTCTGAGAGTCTGCGAAAAACAGACATCCCGACAATGTACGGACACCAGGGTAAGATGGCATATTGTCGCCTTTCTAATGTACTCTATTTTCAGTAATTCGATGCGGTCGAGGAAACATTTTCTTCCGGACAATTTGAAAGTGATTACCATAGTATGAACATCGGTTATATTTTAGAAATGTTTATTTAATTTCCCTTGATAGCGAAGCAAAAGGAAAAATCAATTAAACGGCGATTTATGGTACAGTTTGTTTTGTAATGTGTTTGCTTCCAGAACTGTATGTTGTGTGTTTGTGCCTGTGATCTTGCATGCCCTAGGCATCTAGGCATCGCGGCTGGAGTTCATACAAGGAAACCAAAAATGTATTAAAACAAAAACATGTTTTGCTTTTTTTCTTTTCCGAGACTAGAGTGTTTTGTAGAACAAAAATATAAATAACACCTTCAATTAAGTCAAACCGACACAACTACGAACTTTACCGAGGACCAGAAGGTTAGTTCGGCTTGTTGCGCAGGCTAACCGGGGGCAAGTTTCGATATCAACGTTTGTCAACTGGTAATATTCGGGAGTTTTAAGATATGGCACTAGTATAGGGCGACGGCGTCGAAACGCGTTCTTTGAAACTTTATTTCTTGTATTTTAACTCCTAATCATTGTTAAATTTAGTGGAACTCTCCTGGAGTTAGTTTTCAAAGATTCATATTCAGTTTCAGAATTAGAAAGAGAAATTCGTCGTCGAGGGAGTACGTTTTCCATAACTAGACTTGAGGCATTTTCACGTCGTAGTCGTGCTATGCTGGTAAAGTATAATGTGCGAAAAAAGCCTGATACACGTGAGTTGTACTGTTTTAGAAAACTATTATTTTTTTAAAGTTAACTGTAAGTTGTCGTTGCAGCTGCAGTCGTGACATCTTAAGCTCCCCCTTATATATAATATGCAACCATACTTTGTGTTGCTTACCTTTAAGAGGAATTTCGCCGCCTACAATAAAAAACGACACCTTTTTAGACATTCAAGTAAATGCATGCGACAAACACTTAAACATGTAGGTGGCACTTTGCCAAACGACTGCCGGAGATACGTCTGCGTCTGCCCTGGGGTAAATTGTGATAGAATCGTCAAGACTTACAATTAAGTAACACAGAAGATATCGTGAGAATAGCTTATTGTTGCCTAGCTATGAAAAGTGCTCCCTTGTAGGCAAAGAGCTTGATTTGTACATCACCTATTTAAAAGATAACTCGAAAACGAAATTCCCTGAACTTTAACAAAAGTAACAATTTAACTGTTTAATTGTACCAATTAATCATTATGATACGTTCATCGACAAAAATAAATGCTTACTTTGGTGGTCACATGATGAATCACGTGGTCAGAGGCTTGAAATTCCTATGTTGCTGAGAGATTCCATAACAATCAGTGACGGCATTTCAAACGACTTTGGATCGTACTCAGTTAGACTTGACAGTTTCAGTAAACTGTTAAACTGTTGGGTACAAAAGGGACATAATTATGTACCTCGTTCCCAGGGTTTTTCCCCATAGAAAATGGAAAAAAGCCCTGGGAACGAGGTTGTAAGGCTCTGCTTTCCACACGGACAGTCTTAGAACGCCTATGTCCTAGTGAAAGTCAAAATCGGAGTCGTATTGAAGCAGAGCTACAGCCGCGACGTTATCTTATTTTTTTACGGTGACTCAGCTTACGACTCCGTCGCTTACGATTTTAGATCGGGTAAGCAAGATGGCATGAACCACGTAGTCAGACACGTAGTCAGAAGTTAAACTTACTAACAATAATAATAATAATTATATACTTTTTTATATAGCGCCATTCCAAGCGATGCCCAATGGCGAAAATATTACAAATATATTTAACAAATCACATTAAATTGAAACGATTAGCGCTAATCCTGGATTAAGATTTTGTTCCACTTTTTGTATTTACCTTCCTATACATTGCTTAGAAAAACATTTTGCGTAAATCATTACTTTGTCCAAGTAAAGGCTCAAAAGTATTTTGTAAGCGTGAGTTACATGCTCTTAGCAAGAAAACCGTACTTAACATTTCGCTAAATTCCGGGTTAAACTTAACCATCTTTCTAGTGCTGTTTTGTTCGGGTCTTAGGATCCCTTCTAGTTAGATAAACCTAAGCTGTACTTCACGTCCAACAACGAATATAATTGATCCGTACAATTATTTTGCTACCTTGTTCATTCGATAATGCCAGAGTTGTTTATAGAGCACCCAATCTCACCCAAAGCATATACATATTTGAGTAAATGCTGCCGAAAGAGACTCGTTTTTCAACTTTTCAAACGACAGTGAATAATACTCAGTTATTAAATAACTCTACTGGTCCAGTAATAAAGTTTTTGTTGGGTAGGTTGTTCAGTGTACTGACCTTTCACTAGCTTGCAAAAATATACGTAGTATTCCAGGAACGCACGTTGGATAAAATGGGCATTGGCTGTCGATCGAGACGCGCAGCTATAATCGTCCACCAGGGTCAGTGGGCACAAGTGAAAGAAAAAAAATTAATAAAAACGAAATATTGATAAATTGCCCAGTTACGAGAAGACCATGATTTAATAAGCGTTTTACTTGGGAATGGTAACGACCACAAAGGCAGTCGGAACACTTTAATTAAGATGTATTACCGGAAAACAAAAAAAAAATCAAATTTGAATTATGACGTTTTCGAGCGTTTTTAACAGGAAACGATGGAAGCGCGACATAACACCGTGTAGAAAAAAGAAAAAAAGAGAGAAAGAAACCAGGCAGGTGTTCGAATCATGTCGAATTCAATTCATGAGACACTGAAAAGCCCACATGCATTTGCGGTGCTTTTTGGCACTAATTTTTCCACAATCAAGAGATGCGAAGTGCTTTATCCTAATTCAAGAATTCACGCTTGTATAGAATGAATATCCTTTCGTTGAATAACACTGTAATTTTTCATACATTCATGCTCAGTGTATTTTAGTTTCCTGTACTAATTCTTCGACTCATCAACACTAAATTAAGGTGTATTCAAGTGGGTTGAATATTGATGATTGGGTGATTAATCAAGATAAAAACAAAACACAAAGAGCGGAGATGACTCAAGTTTATTTTGTTCCTGTGCGTCGTCATAGGCTTATCATTTGTTGCGCTTTGATCAAAATCTTTTGAATACGTCCAACATTAATTAAAAGCTTTTATCCTTTTCATTAATGTCTCTTAGGACAAGGTCGAACTTCAAACTTTTCATGAGACCCAGACCAACTACACTGGACGGATTTGGCGATCAAGAAAAAAAAAGCATTTTTCTCCTCTGAGAACTAAACACCTTTTTCATGTAAATTCTTCGCGAAAAAAATTCTATTCGCCACTTGCACATGTCCCATAATGCACCTTATTTGCCGCCCCAAATTTTGCATAACATTGTTTTGAATTTCTCTTGGGACGGCTGTAATACCCAGGAGAAATGAACAACAAAGGTTATGCCAACAGGTGCAAGAGGCGAATTGAATTGACCACCAACATGGCCGCCTTGTCACGTGGTGGCAAACCAAAAATAGCTCGATAATTGACCTTGGCCTTAGGTCCCTGAGTCACAGCGTAGTTTGAATGATGTGTTCCCATTCAATAAATCCTTATACAATAAACCCTTCCACGGTTTTTTTTCTACTTTTGACACAACCAGTTGGGGAAAATCCGTCGACAACACTAGAAAGAGCACGTTAACATTAGCAAACTTGCCAAGTTTGAAAGTGACAGCGAGCGACATATAGCTCCACAAAGTTACGGAAATTTACAGAAGTTTGTATGTTAAAGGGGGGCGGGGGGGGGGGGGGGGGGGGGTTAGAGCTAGCGTTAGGGTTAGGGTTAGGGTTGGGGGGGCAAATTTGCTTCGTTAGTTTTCAACAAATCACTTTCACGCTTGGCAATATTATTAGCTCAAAGGCGATCTTTCCAGAGAAGTCGACGGATCTTCCTTAACTTGTCCATTAAAAAATGGAAAAAAAAGTGGAAAGGTCTATTAACAATACCCTATTTAACGCTACAAATGAAGGCTTCTGCACATTTTTTAACCTCGATAATATTTCCCAGCATTTTTCTCATCTCGTCACATCATTCACATTTGTAATATACCTAACCCTTTGAAACAAATAGAAAAACAAAAATAAGTCTCTTGCATGAACAATATAAATAAAAAACCTGCTATCCTGTACAGGACATTCATAATATTCCTGAAATAAGTCCTTAAGAAGATTTCTCGATAGACTGCATAGTAATAATACATACCTCACATTACATACTACCAATAAATAATAACTATTTTCATGCCAATTTAAGCGGTCCTTTCTATGATTCGTGATAATCACTAACCTAACCGAATAAAAAAAATTCAACTAAATCATAATATCTGCCAAATTGATATGTTGATTGATTGTGATGTGTTTTCTCATTTAACGAATTTCCTAAAATAAAACCATGTTCATTTTACATTGTGTTCCTTGCGTACAAGGCGACATATGGAAGGTAAATTAAATACGTTTTTGTTTTTGTATCTCATTGGTAATTTAAAAGGGGCAAAGATGTCGCTGAAGACTTTACTTTGTGGGAGAATGTAAGCGCAAACCCTTCCCATTTGCTAGATAGACCCTTATTGCTACGCATGATCCCTTCTTGGCCCAAGTTATTCGCCCTCTAAGGGTTCTGAAGTTGAGAATGAAGAAAAGAAACACACGCATACGCAGTTGCCTGTCATCATTGTCATCCCCACAGAGCCTCGACATCGTTTCCTTCAGACACGTGGTCTTTGCTAACGGAGGGTCTTAAATTTAGTCGTTTGTTGTATTAAGGCCAAGTGCCTCTAGGAAGGAGGAAAGTATCATGTCGCTAATGACGGGCTCTCAACTGCATCTGCGTGTGTTACTTGTCCTCGTGATAGAGAAAAGTCGTTACGTCACGTTGCCATGGTAGCAAAATTTCTGGATGATAACAAAGCGAAAACGTCACTTAAAAAGTGAATTCGCACTGTTTGAAACTTAATCGATCTTATTCAATGCCATTTAATTTGCCAAAAGTTGGCGAAATTTCGAAGGGACCGTATCTAAGTTTAGAAAAAGAAAAAGAAAATTTTTGTGTCGCTTGTGTTCACCTACTCCACAAAGCAGGCGCGTGAAATTAGGAAGTTTCATGTCACAGTCGTGCAACCACGGCTAAGAAATGTACAAAAACGCGTGATGCACGTGCAAAGTTGTTGTTTTACTAATATAAACTATTGCTTTTTTGGCCGGTCTCGTTGCCGTCGCCATCTTCGTTACTTAAGCTCCCTAATGTTATGATCCAGAAATTTTGCTACCATGGTAACGTGACGTCACACTTCTCCTCTCTCTTGTCTTCAATTTATTTGAAAATAAACTCAATTTTTTCATGAATCCTATTCAAACAACCGGTTAACGTTCGTCAACACAACAACTTGACGTTGTATTAAATAATAATAATAAATAGAGTTTAAACCAGTAATAGAATAACCTTGCAGCTTGGGCGAACAATTTCCTCTAATCAACCCAAGCTTCGATTTCGTGCCTTTGTTTACAGGATTGCGGCAGAGATCTATTAGAAATGAGATAACTCCTCAACGTTATTTACATCAATTTGTTAGAAAAGAACTTAACCATTTTCCTTCGAGACAGAAAGTGTGTGGCTTGGTGACTAGTACAGAGTGTGGCTACACACGTGACAGCTACAAGCCACTCCTGTGATGCCTCGGCTCGATTAATTATTTTAAAAAACTAAGATTGGTCAATCAGTGGCTATGGAAAAAAAACCCTGCTCATCAATCCTACGAAAAGGTTCGCTGAAAACCGGCGATCATTTTTCGTATTTAAAGGGTGTAAACTGAATTTCCATAAACTCTTGAAAAACTACGTTAACGGTTGGACGTTAAAGGTTGTCAATTTAAATAGTCACTTTATAATGTGCTGCTGATTTAGAAGTTAACAAGAACAGTTATATAAAAGTGTTTAAAATTTAAAGGTGTGCTATCCTAGCGATGGGCGACGACGATAAACAAGAAATATTCTCTCAGAAGGAAAAGGGTTAAGGAGACAAAATGAATTCTGTATACCTAACTTAATATTTAACATATATTTTCTATGAAATTTAAATACATTGCCCCACCCTATCCTTGAACAGCTTACTCTGTTTCCCCACCCATCCTCCCTGGTTTACTGAGGGCCTATACTGGTTACCATGGATGAATGATGCCGTTTGTCTCTGTAAGAGAAGTCAGTGTTTTCCTCCGTAAGCTGATAGGTCGACATCTGATATGGAATCCCGCTGATTGGTACTACAATCTGTTGCTGTGTAGACTCTTTCCTGTTTGTATAAATTGCACAGACAAACTTTAGTGTGAAAGCTGATAACAACAGTTAAAATCAGCGACAGATCCAGGGGAGGGGCTCGCCCCCCGACTCCCCCTTATTTTATAGACCAAACTGAGGCCCGAAGAGCCGACAAAAATTTTTTGGAGACCGGGTCCCCCTTTATCCCACTGAAAATGTCACGCAAGATCTTGGTAGACAGGCAGAGAAGCTACGTGACCATAGTTATAGCAATAGCTTCCATGTTACTCAGTCTCTAAGGTGTATGACTGGGTAAGCAAGTGTCGGCCCTGTGACTATTCCTTCGCGAAATTGGTGCCTCATGGCCATGGCGGGCGCCTTAGGCTAACAGTCGTCTCCTACGGTTTCCGTATTGCTTTAATTTCCTCCCTTCGGATACTTACGTCCCAATCAGTTACTTTCATTTGTACCGTTGCGACGCTTATTATTTAAACTTGAATAAAGGTCATAAAGTCCTATATTCCTCGTGATGGAATTAATGCTTAAGTGGTCACCTCAGAAAGAAAGCTCTAACAGCTAAAACAGAGTGATAAGATGAAACGAACTGCAGCACGTATGAATGCGGAGAACAAGCGACACAGGAAAAGAACAGAGTCAGAGACATGTTTCTGCCTTTTGCTTCACCTTCTTTTTTAAGGAGAAGTCAGAACAACAATTGAGCTAAATCTCTTTTACTGACGGAAGACTCGTCAGATTTCATAAGATTTTGTGCGTTTTAGCAAACATTTGTTAAGATTCAAATTGGCAAACCCGTCAGAGAGCAAATCGAGTAAACAAAAATGGTCACCAACCTTGTCAGCTTGTCCCATAAAGACTGCACCCACTTAGAGAACACAAATTCGGAGGCACAACCTGTTGTACAAGACCAAAAAAAAAATACATATCAAACAAAATAAAAATAAAATAAATTCGTAAAAACGTATGTGCGAACGCATAAACGTTCATCCTTCGTGGTTTAAGAAAAACCCAATGTATGTATGTATGTACTACTGTACTGTACTATAACTACTGTACCTTTTAGACTTAACTGTAGTTTTACTGAGAGCTGATAAAAGATGTCCGAAAAAGTTCATGTAGCTAGAATCACCGTCACCTTTCAATATGAAACTTAAAATACCACCCTTACCTATTGAGTTATTAGCAGGTGTGCCATGGACTTAAAATGTAATACGTAGAACAAAAGAATCCTACCTTTTGATAGCCCAGGATTGGCCTGACCGATGTATATATACACTAATAACGCCACAGAAATGTTGGCAAGCGCATATCCCCAGTTTATAAGGAACATAATCAGTAGACTGGCGAAAGTCTGCAACATGAAAATACAAATATCATACTGAATATAAGTACACGACGCTGTGGACAGGTTTGCAAGTGCAAATCACCATTTACAACGGAGCATTATCAGTAGACTAACGAAGGCCTGTATTGTACAAACAAAAATATCATAATACACCAAGAGGACATAATGGGACAGAGGAACCCGATCTAGCCTTTGGGACATGCCAGTTGCACCAAAGTTATTTTAGACCAATTAATCGATTGAAATTAATCAGTCTTGGTATCCGAAGAGGTCCGCAAAATTTTATTCAGTGTTGTCAAGAGAATATAATGAGAAATTATGCCCTTTTGGTGTATCACCATTACAATATTCTGCATTGTTTGCTTTGAGACAGTAGCTCGATGACGTTTCAAACAATCGATTAACATGTGCGGACTTCCAAGAAATTGGATTTTCGCTTAATTATATAGAAATAATTTTAGTGAAATTCACATATCCTGGCCAACGCCCTAGGAGTTCCTTTCACGGTTCATACAGAATTTTAAGGGAAAAAAATCAGGGACTTTTCAAGGACTAAGATAATTTTTTCAAGGCCATCTTTTCCCTCTAATTTAACATAGAATGACATGAAGACCTTTCAAATTCGTAGAAAGAGGAGGGTTTGCTTATTGCAATAGCTTCCCTCAGGAAGGCACGGTTCCTTGTGTAATTCAAATAGCGCAAAATGAACTATGCCGGGAACTTTGAAATCCTATGAAACCACACTTTCATGGTCACCAAGAAAATTTCCTTACTGCTGCCCTTTCAATCTTTCCTTTGCGCAAAACACTTTTTCAAGGACTTTTGTGGAAAATTCAAGGACTTTTCAAGGATATGCCAAAATTTTTCAATTTTCAAGGACTTTTTAAGAACATGATGCTTTTTCAAGGACCTTTAAGGACCCGTGCAAGCCATGCTTTTCTGTTCCATCATTCTCTTTTGAATACAATAATAATATAGTTGGTAACTCGTAGCAGTCCTTAAACTGACAAACCTGAGGCCGACGGTGCCATCAATTTTCCCCCCTCTCTCTAACAGTGTTCCGTTTTAGGGGAATTTTCTAGCTACTTTAAGTTATACGGGGAGGAAAGAGGTCAAGTCGAAAGAAGGATCTGAGATCCCATCTGGGAATGAAACTCGGAAGGTCCTCCACAGAAGGCGCTCGCTAACCGGCTAGGTGCTAATCCTTGTCCACTCGGTCACATTATTTTTTAAATGTGGAGTGAAAATGGAAACTCACCCCAGCCAGAGATACCCATCGGTTACACAGGTCCGAATAGAAGGAAGTTGGCTGCTTCTCTATCTCCCACTTGATTTGGTGCTCTTCGTGATAATAATCCTCGTTCTTCCGCTCTGAATTATAATGAACACAGATACAAATATTTCAGAAAACGGGTGAGTTGTTAAAGAGCATACTAGGCGACTGAACCTGTAGGTTCACCTCATCATGACAGACCCATAATATCCTACACCGTTCAAAGTTCTTTTAGACAGTTAACGTACACATACGGAAATAAAAACAGAGAGGAATTTATCAACGGCTAGCCAGCGGATGGTGGTTATGCACTCGCTCTTGCACGCCAAATTGGACTAAAAACAACCTTTCTCTTCCCCTACAAAGGCCTGACACGTACGCTGGCAGAACCAGGTGTTAGAGAGGTCGTAATTCCCTTCAGGAAATTAATCCCAGCTTCGACCTTACGGGTACTCAATTCTACGCACCCAAACTCGAACAAACATCATAGATAAGTCGACTACATTTATTGAGGATGACGTTGAAAACTGAAAACTTGCGACCCCTGAATTGGAATATGAGATCATGACCGCCCCTTGCTGCCTCCAGTAAGCCCTCTAACAATTTTCTTACCACAAGAAATATAGTAGGACAAAAAATTTCGCGCCCTAGATAAGCAACGCGTGCGAGGAGCGGTTGACGAAATCTCCGTCTCGCCTCTCTCGCGGGTAGCACTCTTTTTGTGTTCCCTCTTTCATACGGCGATCTTGAAACGCACGCAATCCCTTACCTTTTTTCCTCCGGCGGGCCTCTGTACCATGATCTATTTCCACTTGTTTTCCCTCTTTAATATTAACCTTGTTGCTCTCATTTTCTAGAAGCGGCGTGGAATCTCTGGTACTTTCCTCGTCTAGTTCATCACCTTTATCTTCAAGGTTTAGTTTTGTTTCTAGTTTTTTATTATCCATATCCAGTGGAGATGTGTTGTCTAACACTTCGTCTTTATCTAAGTTTTCCTTCTCTGTGGAGTCATCTTTCTCGGTGATGTCTAGTTGACTAAATTTCACATTTCCGAAGTCATGTTTTTCGAAAGATCCACTACCATAGCTTGTTTTCTTGCCATCACCCTAACAGAAAGTTAACAGAAAGAATTTTTTAAAATTACGCGAGAATTTGCTAAGAGGCCCAGATTATTTCGTTTTCTGTACTGTAACCTATTTGAAGGCAGTGGCTTGAAAAATTCCGTCGCCGTTAGTGGCAAATTACATGTAGGTTCGCACTAAGAACGCAGCCGAGACTCTGGAATGCAGGCTTTCGGAGAAATATGTCATTATGACATTAGCCACAAACTACAGCACTTACTGTCAGAAAAAAATATATATGCCCCGCGAATCTTGGGTATTAGCCTGCGAGCAAGCTCTCCGGGACGCTTTGGCGGTGGGGCGGGAAAAATGGAAGGAGAGCTTGCAACTACGTCTATGAATTTGAATATCTGCATCGAAAAAGTCACTGCGAAATGCTGATTGGCGGAGATGACATTAGTAATGACGTCATTACCCTTTGCACATGTTTTTCAATGTTTGTTAACATTCGAGCAAGCTATACTCTAGGACAATAAGGTCCAGTTGATATGTATTCAAATGTACCTTAGATTCATATGAGATGAGCTTAGTTTCATCTGTCTTGGTGGAGTCAGGCGGCTTATTCCTACCAGCCAGTTTCTGTTGCTCTCTGATATCATAACTCATGGCCAGCTTGAAGTACGCATAGTCAATCGCAGCGTATGTTAGTAGAAATGGCATAGTAACAATAGGAGCTAAGGCGTTTAAGTTGCCGATCATGATAAAGCCCGCCGCGATTATTGCTACACATACGGCAGCCAAGTATGGTTCTTGGTTTGGGCCATGCTGAAATTAAAACCAAACAAAGTCTAACGTTACAAATGATGGTATAGACTATTGACGGTGGAAAGAGAATTAGCTAGAAACAACCCATAAACCTCAATTAGCGTTTGTCCTTGTAGAGGGAATTAGGAGACAATTCGGCAAGGTAAAGAATACATATTATGTCCTCGGTGTGAATCGAGCCAACGCCCTTCGGGTTAGAGCCACCGTTGCTCTACCGACTTAGACACGAGGCCAGGCAGGAGCAAGTCGGATATTCAAGGTGGTGTTGAGTGGCCAATAGAGGTAATAAAGGGTACATAATTCAAATTAAGACCTTCACCTGATGTATCACGTAAAAATTGGCCTTACCATGCAGAGTAAGAGGAATTTTTAGAACTTCATACTTATTTGCCCCCAAATTTTGCACAAACATTGTTTTTAAAGGAGTATTGCAAAAGCAAATAAGTTTTAAAATTTGGGGGACCGTAATGGGGTCGAAAATAGCTGTAAACAAAAGGAATATTTCATAGTTTAATTAAACTGACAAAATACAGACATGAAGATCTAGCAAGTAACAAGATGTCGAGGTTGGAGCCTTGACTGTGCCGAGACAAGAATCGTTGGTACCCACGAGCATGATAAAAAGCCGGCAAAAAAATGTAGTGAATGTGGCAATTGCTGGTTTTCAGCTGACGTCACCGCCGCCAAGTTGACTCACGAAAAAAGGGTTAGTATTTTTTTGTCACCCAACATGGCCTCCTTGTCACGTGGTTGCAAGCCAAGAATACGTACCCCTTTGCCTAGTGGTTTTATGATGGGCAACACATTTTCTTTGCTGATACACTGTAGGACTCTTGGGGCTCCATATTGCGCTCCAAGGCAGGAAGAGAGAGAGGAGATGTACAATCCAAACAAGAACAGAACACCGACCAAGGAAACCTTGGATGCGATCATGTAATCTGTGAGTAGTGCATGTCGACTACAAACCGCTCCCAACAGCAAGGCAAAGAGAATATACAACATTCCACTGTAAACAAACAAAAAAAAGACTCATTGGTAAATATGTAGCTGACATAAGTGTACATGCAAGGGCATACCACGCAAACAAGGGAAAATGCGGTGATAGTAATATCAATAGTTACCAAAAGTATCTCTTGCCCTAAGTAACTGGGCGCGGCACAGAGTCTGCATAACATGCCGATAGGTAAGACCTTAATTTGCTTAATTTGCAAGAAATTGGAGGGTAAGTTGTAGCGTTTGTGCTCAAAATTTGACCAAAATGAACTCACGATACAACTACTTAAGCAAAATTTCCTCTTCCCAGCAGTTATTTGTTTTGAACTGGGTTCCATTAATTTGTGAATTTTGACTTTTGACACAACTTTTCAGAAAGTCATGCAAATGCGCAATGGGGTTCAAAAGTCTAACTGAGACTAGCCTGCAAGCAGGCTCACTTGTGCAAGTTTGGTGAAAACTTTGGCGGCGAAGCCACTAATGAGCAAGCAAGCGGGCTATTGATTTTTGAATACTCCGCGTTCGCTGTATATGACGAACGCAGCTATCTAATTGGTCAAAAGTGACAGGCTTCGAAAGACTACATAATTATGACAAAAATCAAGACCCAAGAACACTAGGTATGTAAAACTATAAAACATTCATGCATCAAACTTAATGACTTTAAACGTTGGTAGGCCTGCACGAACTGGCTATCACTGTCTTTATGTAGGCTGCTTTGAGGTACATTATATATTTGGGGAAAGGAAAAACAAACCCTGCCACATGTCTCACAGACCTGAATCCCAGGGCGGCCAGTGTTCCAGCAGGAATGTTACTTGACGGATCTTTCAAGTCGCCACTCATGTTGATTCCAGCCAACACTCCTGTGGCACTTGGAAAGAACACGCCAAACACGCTAAAGAAATTTTGATCGTCAGAGAACTTGGGTGGTGAATTCTTCTCCATATTTTCTGCACTGTAGCCAGTGAAGCCAGCAGCTACAAACAAAAATATTAGCTGTGAATGTGATGCAAACAAAATCGAAATAGACTTATACTCACTGCATGCAACCTCACTCCCAGGTTCTCTCTCCCACCCATCGCTCCGTAGGGACGGGTAGGAGAGAACCCTGGGAATGAGGTCGCACTGCGTTTTGCTCTGCCTTAAAATTAACTAAAGGCTTAAATCATTCTTTGTTTTTCTAGTGGTCCTAGGAAAGTGCCTCTTTTCTGCACCATAAACAGAAGGTGGGTGGCTGGTGAGCCATCTAATTTCACAAATCCCAGCCCAAATGACGAGTACTTGAATTACAATATTAATATTGTAATCACAGTTACCAGTCATTTTTTTTAGTTTCAAGTTAAAAGATACGAGTCAGCAAATAATGACTCCTGTCAATACCATGCCCTAGGTAAACTGAAGTGAAGGGAGCCCATTGCTGTAAACTGTAAAATCCAGGGTTCCCAGCTAAAAACAGTTTTTGCCAAAAAAAACTAAGACTTTCTAGTCCCCCAAGAGCAAACTTTATGCACTGAGGGACACTCGTGAGGCTCGATTAGCAGCTGCTGTTTTGGAAATGAGTCAGCAGTCCGAGGACCCAAAGAAATTAGGGGAGATTGAGCTTAAGGGCTACTGGGCACTGCTAGAGTAAAGCCCTGAGGCTGTTATTATAATTACGTTGTCAAATGGATGGCAGCAACTCGGCCCTTATCGAGCACTGATGAAACCAAAGCAATCAATTCAGCTATCGTGCTCAGTTTATTAATTTTCTTGTTTTTCACTTAAAAATACAGGTATTTACAGGAATATACAGTCGACTCTCTCTTAACGGACACCTCTATAAGATGGACACCTCTGTAAAACGGACACCTAACTAGGGCCTGGAGTTTGTCCCTGCCTTTCTTTCCTCCCTCTTTTTGACTCTCTATAAGACAGACATCTCTCTATGACGGACAGCTAGTGCCAGTCCCAGAGGTGTCCGTCTTAGAGAGAGTTGACTAATCTTTTGTATATTGACTAAAGTAAAAATTAGCTGGAATGTAACATTTTTATAACACTAAAGAGTGCACATTTTTACTTACAATAGTCTGTGTGTGCAAAAGTCCCAACCAGGAAATCCAGCACAGAAAGCATCAGAATCGCAAGCAGAAGAAGCTGAAGTTTAACAACCCATTTGACACCAGCAAGGACAACAACCAATAAGATAAGAGCTGTAATGAGGCCAATAACTCGCACTGCCCAAGGGCTATCCCAGCCTGTCGTCTCTGCCATGGACTCTCCAAATCCAGTAGAGAATAATGAAATACTAACAGCCTGATAAAATTAAATAAATTATCACTTGTTGAGTTTTCTGTACACAATTCACACACATATTTAACTCTGGGATGCTTACATGCATGTACAAGTGCCATGGGGGCACAAGAAATTCTGATAGGAAATTCAAATGATTTGGGACATTCTGTCAGCCGCTCAGTCCTTAGAGTTGACGTTGATGTACACTAATTATAACCTGGGGCCTGTTTCTCAAAAGGCCAGGAAACTTTCCGGGCCCAAAGGAAAGTTTTGAAATCAAAACCTGCTGAATAGTGCTAACACAGTTCCTATCACACAAACCAGCCAATTCTGCTTTGTTAACTGATAGTCTTATTGCATCGTTTTCAAAATTATTGAAACTTTGATCACGAATGGTAACATTGCAAACACAAAACAGATTTCCGGGCCCGAAACATTCCCAGGACTTTTGAGAAATAGGCCCCTGATCTTTCTTGACTCTTCGGCTGATTTAGCAGCACTTTGTAGTTAGGGTCTATCTTTAACATGGTTATAAATTTAACTGCTGTCAATGTTTATGCACAAGACTTTTAATTGGATGGTTTGAGTAAAACTTATGGTAAACTTATGGTAAAACCTGGACTGCATATCAAAAGGATAGTAGTGTGTGTGATTTTTTTAACCTGATAGGGAGTGAGAGGAATGGGTGTATTTGCAGGCTATGACTGCGTGAATACATCAAAATGTAATTTTTGTCCACTCTATTCTAGCTTGTGAATACACACCCTTTCTCATTGTCCCTGCCTAAAGAGAAAACACCAACATACTTTCTATAGGCAGGACATGCACAGGTGACAGCCCTCATGCAACTGGACAACTGTGCACTTGTAAGGTACATGTACATGTATATGTATATCAGGGCTTCTGATGTTTCACGCGGTTGAGGAGCCGCAAAATTCAAGTAAATCCGCGAAATCCCGTGAAATGCACAAAAACACGAAAAATACTGGGAAATTCAGTAGAAATCTTATCAAACACACGTCTGTACAACATATTTGAAACTTATTTCAGCTATAGGGGCTATTTCCTTGCCGTAAACTTGCAAATTTATCTTGGAACTTCGTCACTGAAACGTGCAAACAATGTCCCGAAACTACCAGGATTAGATTATGTTGCGAAAAACTGGGCACTGGACATAATGTTAAAGGCTTTGCCATTGGTTCATTTCTGGAGCGACATATTGTTGTTGAAAGAGCAAATGATGACCTCTGTTAGAAAAACGTTAAAAACGCTGGTCTGATCAGCGCAAAACCGATAGATTTCTAGCGAAATTTACCTTGAAAATAACCACAAAATCGGCCGTTTTTTACCAATTGCTTTTTGGTGAAGTTTGCCCCGAAAACTCCCACGAAATTCCCGTGAAATCGGCTAATTTTTCCGCTAATTTGGGCCCTAAAAATCCTGCGAAATTTGACTTTTTCTTCCGCGACCTATCAGAAGCCCTGGTATATGTACGCAGCATTTTCTTTACCCCTGTGTCATGCATACGTGACCCATAAAAATCACCAAAGATGCAAAATTATCAATATTAAATTATGCAAAGACTGATCAATCATTGTTGCTTAGCTTATTAATAGTATTCATTAACTTTTGTTACAGATTTCTAAAGACTATCTCTCTTTACAAGTACTACAAAATACATTGCATCTCATCTGTATGGTTGTTTCAATGGTTGCAGTGCCTATGTAAACACCCTTACAGCTCCTCTGCTCATATTTTATCCAACAAAATTAATCATTCATTGTATAAGAGATTTCTTATTTTAATCACTTACCATTCCAAATATATAAAGTATTCCTACTGTGCCTCCACTTCGCTGGCCCAGAACATGTGCAAGCAGAAAATACACCCCTCCACTCTCAACATGGGTTCTCTCACAGATGCCGATAGCAGAGAGGGCAGGAGCCAGTGCAACCAGAAGAGTAAGGACAATAATCAGCAGAGATAAACCGATACCAGCATTTCCCTACAATTAAAAGAAGAAAGAAACAACTTAGAACAGTTCTGTCATTTTACTTACCCGTGCAAAAAAAAAACTTTTTAAAATTTAATTGTCTGCACTAGTGCAGGGCTCAAAAAAAGCCCTTCCAGTAGTCTGGCACAAGTATTTTGCTGGGAGAGTAACTTTTAAAGTTTACTTGCCCTGAATGGGCAAGGGTCCAGGCAAATCATCCCCTAAAAAATTAGCACTGACGACAAGCAAGAAGTGGCCCTATGCAGAGCAAGCAAAATGTGAGAGCAGAAATTATTCAATATTTTTTAGCCCTGCAGAGTAAGATGCACTTTTGAAACCAGACTCAGCAGATATTAGATTAATTTGAAGCATTATAGAAAGCAATGAATAAAGAAAATTAAAGAGGATGAGCAGAGCAAAGTTTAATAAGAGATGCAGAAGTAAAATTAATTTTACTGTCTGCATGCATGCATACACCTCTGACTGTGCTATACATGTACATTAAAACATGAAACAAAATTAAAATAATATAATAATAAAAAATAAAAGTGAGGCCTTACAAAACCTCTCTCTTTCCTCGCAAAGCTGTTCATTTGAGAAAGAAATGCAAAAACTAGAAAACTTTTTAAGTCTGATCATTTTATACTCAAAGCAAAGGATTTACACCTGTATCAACTACATGCATGTATCAGAAAAAAATAAAATAAATAAATAAACATATAAATAAATAAAGATACACATACCACCACCCATCCTGTCCGCAGAAATATAACAACTCCAAAAATGTTAAGCATGCAACTTGTAAATACACCTGAAAATAAGGATAAAGTTGCTTTCAGTTAATTTATGGAAACAATTTTTTGGAATGTTTAGTTACTAAAGTTTGAACCATAAAAATCATGAGCAAACTCCCCCTCCCCCACACCCCATAACTGTCTGGACTAACATAAATGTACTCTCCCCAAACTTACCATCCCATGTTCCAAAAAGTACTGGCTCCCTCACGAAGAAGTTTGCCTTCCACCATGGTTTATCTGATACCTGATCTCCCTTAGGTTACAGAGAATAAACAAACATTATATCACCAAATAAACCAAAAAAGAAAAAACAAGATATCAATAGGCCATTTTACCATTAGGGGCGATGGTGTCATTTTGCTACTACTACCAGAATCCTACAGTGTTTTGTTTTCTTGCGCAAATAATTTTAGGGCTTTTGTTATTTAAGCGTCGCTGGGATTACCAAATTTACTTTTTTGTAAATATAAAAAAAAAAGGAAATGAATTCTGGTCTTAGTAGTAAAAAGATGTCATCATGCAAATGGCATATTGTTCGCATATGACAAAATTGAACATTTGACTCTGCATGATTTTTTCAACCCAAACAATTAAATCATCTGAACTTGGTTTGTATTGGTGATCAATGGCTAAAACATGCCTTGTTCAAAGTGTAGAGGGGTGGCTACAGGTTCAAAGCCTCTTCAGGACAAATATTTATTTTTTTCAATAGTGATTTAATATTTATTCTGTGCCATTTGCTATTACAAGTATAAAGAAAAATGCATGGAATACATTACTATACTGTAAATATACCCGATATTGAAATTTAGTTCAAAGTTATATTAAAAATAAAGCACTGAACGTGTATAATATTATTTCAATCACAAACAAAACCAACTGTGCTATCGAAATACTGGCTCGGGCATCGTAATAACAAATAAACTTAATGTAATTAAACTCTTATTTCTTGCGCCCGTGATCCGTGAAATATTTGTTTCAAAATAAATTTGCATTTTTGCGACACGCATTGTAAATTTCATTTTCGCAGTTTTTAAACTAAAGTTCTACTGATGAAGTTTAAGGGAAAAACGAAGTGAATATTCCTCGCACAGCCAATCTGTGTTTCTAAGTGCTGTGGTGCTGTGGTGCTGTGGCTTCTACATTCTCAAATAATTTCATTTTTTGTTCAACATCAATCGCGGACAAAATGTGGTTTTGCGCCATTTCCTTATTTACAACCACGGAAGCATGAAAATTTTTCTCGTTTAAAAACTTTGATAATTTTTTTTATAAAGTAATCGTTACGATAATAAGAGACCAAACTATTTTTTTTCAGGTACAAATCAAAATATGTGGGTCATTTCACATGTGAATCAAATAACCCATCACGGGCAGCTGTACTCCGGCAACCACAGACAAGCTTATGACCCAGGTTAATAGAAAATACGTTTAGACGACTACAAAACCAGACACATACAGAGTGAAAACTCTTTCAACTACTCGATTTACTCAATTCCTTGATTGAATTTTCCTTAAAATTTAACGACTTAGTCGCTTTTCTATACATACACACGAGCCCTGGGTGAAATCGACAAAGTGATAATCTTTCGAACGAGAAAGCGATCGAGAACAATCGCGATATCGACTCGAATCGCGAGTAGAAATACACAAGTCACTTTCAAAATCACTTAGGGTTAAAATTTGCATTTGGCATTTTTTTACCTGTTCTTCGTCAAAAAGGTCTTTAACATTAGGATTTCCACTGGCTGTGCTTCCACTGGCAGTTAAACTTGACGGATCGTGATTATTCGATCGCGGTGGAGAGCTTTGACCGACAGGGTCTAAACCAAACCTGCTCCAGTCTACATTTCCTTTGCCGTTTTCGGTCATCTCGTCGATTCTTTTGAAGCTTCACCCTTCAAAAGCTCAAGCTTGGAAAAATTCAGAAGACTTAACCGGCCCATGAAAGAAAAAGCTTCGCTAAGAATGTAGAGAAAATCATTGGAACACCCGCCTCAAAACATCTTCCACAACACATCCGTGGCGGTAAAATATGAATATTCATGCACCGACAGTTGTCCACCTTTGACAGCCAATCACGTGTTGTCAATAGCGACCGCAAATTTATGCAAAAAGAGCGCCCTCGTTTTTCTGTTTTTTCTGCGTCTTCCTATTATATCTGCAAAGAGTCTCATCGATGCCTCCGGTAAACTTGAAAATGTGAGGGTGGAGATATCTTACTGTTCGGGCCAAAAATATGGGGAAATTATTTGCCCGTTCAAACCTTAACTACAGCCCAAAATATATGAATGCTGTCAACAAATGGCTTACTAATGGGACATTAGTTGATTGCAATATCCTCTAAAACAACATGAATTTAGAGAGCGAGGGTCCTGTGACTGATTCAATAGCTAGAACTACAAGCCAGGAATGGATTTTTTCAAAAAAAATCTAGATATATATTTTCAGCTTCAATCATGGAGGTTTAAATAACAATTCTCAAGAATATTGATGGAGGGGGATAATTTATGGTCAATGACCAGTCCATCGGCCTGAGATCATGCCCACACCCTATTCACACACACACACAAAATAAAATTTAAAAACCTATGATTACAGTGAAACGTTCAGTGTTCTACGTTCTTAACAACAACAAAAATAATATAAGAGATGGGAAAAGCAAGAGAGGTGAGGTGAAGTGATTGTCACTAACGCCTTAAGATTATACGGATGTTGTAGTGTCTAGAAAATTATAGTGCAGCCCGAGGTCTTGGGACCTGGATAGAAAACTGATACATACTCGGCCAGGTTGGCTCCTCAAAGGTTAGCATGAGTTGCAGCCAGACTTGTTACTTGCGACGTTATTAATACCGAACGTCATACAGTCTGTGTCGGGAGTTTAGGAACGAACCAGAAACATTCAGTCCTTCGAGTAGCCTGCTTTAGCGTTCACATGGTAGGGACTGCGCAGACAAGATACGGGGAGAGGTGGGAGAGGTCCATTCTTTCGGGGCTATCCTCTCCATTATTCCCTCCCTCTCCTAAGACCTAAAACATGCCATCAGTCGAGCGAAAAGCAGGCAGGCAGAGCGGACTGCCCGAGCAACACTGATCCCGCTGGACTACCACGCGGGACTAGCATAGTCGAGCTATAGTGGAGTAAGTAAACAAAGCAGACTCACCCAAGAGACTGGCCCGTGCGACGAACCCGAGGAATTACTAATACTCAAGTGGGCTAGAAGAGAAGACGCCCGAACCACGATCACGAGGGACTGCCTATATATAGAGCGTTTTCACATGACGTCACAGCGGCCATATTGGTGTTCCAAAACAATGATGGGCGGAGGGTTAAGATAACTCAGGGTTAGTGTGAAATTTGAACTCAGACATGAGAGCTTAACAAGCAAATTCAGTTTAATTCTCTTTGCCTACAATTTGATGATTGGTTACTCTAAAAAGAATATGGAAAACTATCCAAGAGAGTGCTTTTGATAAAAAGAAAAAGAAACCCGGCTTAAAATTTAACCGCGGGTTAGCGCTAACCGGCGTTCGAACAACTGGGCCCAGGACGATGACGACTATGAACTACCGAATCCCATAAAATCCCTTTGCTCTCGCACAGCCGAGGTTCAAATAACAAGACAAAATACTGAAATCAAACCGTAACAAACTCTAGATTATTATTTCTCACTGCCGTTTAAAAAAAAACTCTTCTGCCCAGTCAAGAACTTGTACTTTCTAAGGAGAACCAGCCGCTGCTGGCTGTATCGGTTGTTAAGGCACACGCCGTAATTTTAGTAGCCAAGGATTTTACTCAGATTTCTTCTTTCCACCAATCACTTTTCTTCTTTGGCGGATCATGTGACAGTAGAGTTGAGGGAAAACTGCAAATGATCACACAAGAAAAGCACATAAGAGAATATTCAGACAAGAATATTCAGTCATAAATACATTCACTGTAAGAACGTTACGTACTACAAGTACTTAAGCAATGCATCACATGCCGTACACATTTCCTGCACATATACACCCTTCACGATTTAATAAAATAGCTACCAGTATACATTTAACTGGCTATTTTTGCTTGTTTTAATTAACGGCTTACTTTATTTGATTATTCTAATTCTTGAGAGCTTTGAGAAAACTAAAAGTTAATCGTACTGTACAATGATAATAATACACGTCCTTTAAGTATCTAAAACCCAGGACACCGCAGCCCGAGAAAACAGCTAACATTTAGCGACGTCACCACTGGTTTCCCCGAGAAATGACGTCTGAAGACTGGGGGCAGAAATTCCACACTGACGAGGGGACGAGCCAGTACCAATAGAACAGTTATGTTCTCGTACTCCCGTGCGAAATTGCCTTTGGTGTTATTACAGATAACTAATTACATCTATAGCCGTTCAAAAATGTAAAAAAAGAATGCAATATGCTTTAAATTATTCTGGTACAAGGTTTTTGTCCCCTGAAAATTAAAATTACTCAATTTCCTAATAAATTCCGTCTTAATCCGTTTGACGGATGACGGTCAACCACATTGAGAACCTCTACTAAACCCATATCTGCGAAGTGAAACGTCATAAGTATGAAATTTATGTGCGCGTTCGTCAGATGTCATTTGAAAACATGACGTCACCACTGGTTTCCGAGGGAAAACCGGTTTGGCGTTGCACAGACAACAAGGACATCTGGAACTTACTTGGAATGTAAGACAACATCACCATAATGAGGAAGAGATGAAAATCGAAGGAGAAATTAACAGCATTTGGCATGGACACGCTGTACAAACCAGACTTGGATACGTAACGAAGTGAAGAATATATTGACACAAGCTCGCCCTGAACATCAACAAAATAAGCAAAGTATAAATAACCTTCCCCTTTTTTGTTACATTTTGACATTCAGACATTTTGATAATCTGCATTTAGAGTTTTGTTATTGTTGTTACTTTTTTTTTATCTTTGTTTATTTATTTATTTATTTATTTATTTTTTACTCTTTATCCAGGGTAATATAATTGCTACATTTTGTGTCCGTCTGTGTCAGTACTATAGTCTCGCTTCTCTACATGTACCTGTTTCGGTGGGCACAAGTAAAACGTGTAAACGACATCGTTTGTGTCCATAAATGTACAATAGGTACCAAGTATGTTTTTACATTTGGATTCACAACCAAATCCATTTTCGAACTTGGTAAAAGAACACAAAATCTGTTATCAAAATACATGAATTTTCCCGTAAAAACGCACCAAGAGAGTATAATAATCATCGTTCCGTGACTGCTTCATATCATGTTCTCAAACATAAAACATTAAGTTACAGTATTACTTTACTCACCGTTACACCAATGGGATATAGAATAAAGAAGAAGGTATATCTAGAATAAACAAATAGGATATCAAAATCGAAATCTCAGACAGCTAAAACTCAACTAGATCAGCATCTTCATCACGACTTTATATATTGACAAGTGCTCTCAATCGAAAATTATGTGCATGATAAGTAGAATTAAGATGCAATGCCCGCTAAAGAAGGCCACTGTATGTGATCTGCGAAGACCGGCATTTTTGTTTGTTTGTTTGTTTTTTTACGGAAACTTCAAAATACAGCAGAAAGGACAAACAAGTTTATTTATTTATTTTGTGACTACTGCAGTGCAGTTCTCATTCATCTTGTGTGGTTGATTGCGAATGTTCATACTCTTATTCCACTTTGTCTTCACAAGCAAATTTGTGTCGCACGACCAATGCCATAATCTAAGTTTGTTATTTCGTGGAGTAAATTATGGAGCAGCTGCCTCGTACTCATATGACTCTCCGTGGTCCCTTGCACTTCGTCACCAATCACTCGCGTGTGACTCGCGTGTGACTCGCGTTTCGCGCACGCCTGCGCGCCTGAGGAGGAGGAGGCTAATGCAGCAGTATCTTGTTGCACGCGACTGTTTCCTGCCAAATGCTTCATGATCCCAGAGAGAATTTTAGTTCAAACTCCAGCATTGATGGTTTTCTAAACAATACAAGCAGTAAAAACATGACCTACCTGCACCATTGAAGAAAATAAGGGAGACTACCGAGCAAAGAGAATGCATAGAAAGCATAACGAATAACTTCTGTAATGGACCATGCTAGTATAAAAGCAGTAACTCCAGGACTGTCTTGAATCTAAACAAAGTAAACACAATTATACGTTAAGTATGAAAGGTTTGAACCCAGGAGTTATTTCGTGAGTAGGTGTAGACTGTTCTTCACAGTCCTCTATTTTTCCGTAAGATCATCGAGATCGAGCACCCCCCCCCCCCGATCTATAATCCCAGACGCCCGCCCCCTCGGTACATTTCAAAATCAAGATAGCCGTGGATCTAAACGATCTCAAGAAAAAATAGGGGGAGCATGATCGTCCGGATGAGGTAGAACCTAGGGGGGTACTCTGGATTTTAAGTGACGGGGATGATGAATGCGGGCAAAAATCAAAACCAAAAAAAATCCCTAAGGCTTTAAACAAAACCCCAAAAAATCTCTGGACCAAAATTTAACCCCCGAAAATCCCATGCCGAATTTAGGAGCCATGAAAATTTTGAGAAAGCATTAAATGACACGACACGAAAAATAGAAACATTAGTAATGGAATGTTTGTGTTTGTTTATTGATTACACCATCTGGAGAAAGAACCTTTTTCGCATCTTTTGATCATTGTAACAACACTCGGTTTTATGGTGCAGTGTAAAAAAGATGCAAAGTACTGCGTTTAATATTAAAACAAGTTTGGTTTTCTTCATTCGCGGAACTATCACGAATCTTCAGATTCTTTTGAATACCCCCAAAAATCCCTACTTACATCAAGCTACCCAAAAAATACTTGCCAAAATTTTCCTACCCAAAAAATATCCCGAAATCGAAAATTTAAAACCCAAAACAATCATTCGATCATCCCTGTCACTTGAAATTCGGAGTAAGCCCCTGGGGTTCTAAATAGGACGTTGATATTAATCAGAGGAAAAATGATGGTGCCTACACTCGGATGCTTCGCACAGCACTAAACGTTTCTTGGAAGGACCACATGTCAAATGACGATCTGTACGGTCACCTCCCAAAGCTTTCTAGCAAGTGTTAGACACAAAGCCGACAGGAGTAGGGCATCGAAGCTTGTGTTGTGGCAGCTACAGCACGGACAAACTACGAGTGGAAGACCTAGGACCACCGTATAGTACACACTCTGCTTGAGGACACTGTGTTCGTCACTATCGGTTAACTCAGAATGGCAATGCTAGACCAAAGTGACTGACAAGGGAGAATCTATGTTGTCCAAGCTAGTGCTTGACCAAACTAACTAACTAGGACAACGACTTTCTAAATATCTGTCTAATCCAGTCATGTTGTTGTTGCTGTTTTTTTGTTTTTTGTTTTGTTTTTTTTTTTTTTGCATGGTTGTACATAACATGTACAATTCTTACCCAGTCTGACCTCATTAATCACACAGACCACATCAGTCACAGATTGGGCCCAGGTGTGCTGTGGATATCTCCCTTCTAATTTTCGAGGTTTTGGTGGGTTAGGACTTAGTTGATGATGGGTTGCTTGACCTGCACCAGCCTACTCACCTGTGGAACGCTATAAGCAATGGCCCAAGTAAGAAAGAGTCTGGAGGCAACTTGAAATGCAGTTAAAACAACTGAAGATGGCACCAGACCTGCAGAAAAACATACATTGAGAAATCACCAGGAAACGCTTACATTATTGACCATTTAAAACAACCATTTGTAATAATCCTGCCAATGAACATCAAATGAATGTAATATTTCTTCCAATTGCCAACCCCCTATTGTGGAGCTCTATATTAAATTGACCTATGAGTGTTTGTGTGCTCCACATCAACTTGGGATTTTTAAGTGAGGTGGGTTTTTTCACAAGCATGGGAAAGGGAGGAAACCTAAGGAAAACCACTGGAGAATGGTATAGGGAACAAAAAATAATCAACCCACACATACATGCATGTATGAAATGCCGGGCCAAGCCAAATGGAGGGCACATGAGGGGGGGACGGGGAGGGGGGTGATAATACAACACAACTTCATTTGCAGGGTTGGGAACTTAATTTCCATCAGGGTGAGTCATGTTCCGTGACTTGATTGCACTAGCTCAGACTGTTTTTTATTCACCAAATACCTCCCCCCCCCCCCCCCCCAGTATTTCAAGGAAATAAAATAAAGAAAAAAAGCTGTGACATTGTCATAGGAATTTTGCCCTGGTGTTTGCAAGAAGCGCCGTCTTAACTTTCTTTTAACCAAGGCCAGTCACCTTGCGATTTTGAAAAACTGTTTTCTGTTTCTCTCTAAAATCAGCTATTTTTTTCTTTTTTTTTTTTGCATCCTCGTTGTTGTGAGTGATAAATACTTCCCGAAAATATCAACAAGTTTTCAAACTGCAACCATGGATTGTCCCCGGCTGTGTGGGTGGTCTCTATAATTTTTAAGCACGCTTGGATGAAATTTTCCTAGGGTTAATCGGAAGAAGTGACTAGCGAGCAAGAAGAGAAACAACCCTAATTATAGTTATGTTTCCTTATTCATAGTAAGAAGTTCACTCACAGAGACAAAATAATATAGTAATGTATCTATGTAAGTACATGCATAAAAGACTAAAGACAATTTTTTATTGCATTGTGGCTAGGCAACAATAACATCAATAACATACAGAAATTATAATGATAGCAATGATATCACTACTAGTATGGAGATATCACTCACCTATTGCACAATGCAATACCTGGGAGATAAGAAAAAACACGAGTTAGGCACATTGCTTTGAAACGCTTTGCTGTGATGATTAATCCAATAACCCCACAGTCATACTAAGATTCACCAACATTTTAAGCAGGTATTTAAAACTTTGTGTACAGTACATACCTCTAGTATGGCCGCTGATTGAAAGACCTGGAGTGGTTTCTCTACTGAGCTATACAGCCCTATGTGAGACTTCTTCTTTACTAAGTGTTGCACTGAGAGAACTAAAATAATGCTCCACCTACAGAAAATAATGAAATTCATTAAACCTTGTTGTGACAATAAGCCCTTAATGTGAAAATTACAAGTTCCGTGCATATTTGTACACTGCACAGTGACAAATGTCCTACTCTCTTGGTAGTGTTACAACCTTAACATGAAGGTTAATCCTAATTGGTTCTTTACTTTGAAGGATAATGAGTGAGGCAGCCATTGAATGAATAAGAAGATAGCATGAGATTCACCTTTACATGATACAAAGGAACACCACACTCTTGACAAGTTAAGGTGTTGGTTGTTTTATCTTTGAGGTTATCCGCGAAAAAAAAATTGCAAAAGGACAGTGAAATGATATGGTTTCTCTTCATTAATATTTTGTCAGTTTGCTGCTTCAGATTAGGCTATTTAAGGTTATTTGTATTCCAACACGATTTTTGCTTTATTGGTAAAAATTAATGGACAGATGCAAACCTTCTAAGTTGTGATAGATATTTGTACTCAATTAAAAATGGAAATTTGCTTTAAAACATTTTAATTTCCGTTATAAGAAAAGAGTGTACATGGATGTTCATGAAAGTTACAATGCCTTTCTGTTTAATTAGGCATAGCCATTGCTATTTAAAAGCAAAAACAATATTAATAATAATAATAAAGTTGATCTCTGGAATTTGATAAAGTGCTCAGATCTTATTTATCATATGATCGGCACTGGGTAGATCACATTATGATCAGTCAATGTGCCCACCATGCACGATAGCAATTTTCTTTTTCTTGCATAAAATGTTTCTCGAACGAAAGCTCACTACATTAAAATTTACAAATCAAGAGAATATTTAAGTGGAATTACTGCTTATATATTTTAAATGACTGCAAAAGAGATAAGCTTAACTCTTTTACAAGAGTTGTACCTATCAAAGGGCTAGGTTCACTATAGAAAAGGTTTTGCATCCTAACATAAGGGTTTCCTCCACTTTCATGATAACACACGTGTTTTCATGATAACTTATCCATGAAATGGAGTAGGATGAAACAAACTTCTGAAGACAATTATACCAAAAAAAATTTAAAACGCAGCTGAGAGCGGCCGGAGAAGAACTGACTAAATTTTTGATGCGCGTTCTGACACCTGAGAGAGCTCATCAAAGTTATGTCTCGCAACTCGACTAACTGAAAACCCAACAGCATTTTATTCCATGCTATTTACTGTATTTAACATTTGTCTCTTAAAAACCAAAGAAACCACAACTTCATTGCACCATGTTTGTTGCAAGCCGTAGCTTCACTTCTGTTTACTACTGTAATATATAACGAGCCAGCTGATCACGGTCCGACGCGAGCAAAGTCGACACCTTTACCACGCGCTGAATCATTCTCTTGCATCTCGATTTGCTCAAAATAGATCCCTTATCGTAATGTGGCAGATATAAATAAGATCACCCATTTTAATAACTTGAAAGGATATAAAATCCTACTTACCCAAGGGTAAGAATAACATTGTACAAAACCAGGTAAACCTTCGCAATGACAGCCATGTTGCATTTGGGAAGGAGAGGAAGCTGGCGCCTAGTGAAAGACTGGCCACAGGTTACCCAATCAGTAGGAAGCGAGAAGCAGCCAACTTTTGTTTAGGATTTTATTCTGTGTGTTTGCAAGTTTGGTCAGGCCTTTGAAAACGGTCATACGATCAGTATATGAGAGTAAGCGCTCAGGCTGATACGCGCAGTTGGAGAGGTCATTTCTATATGTCAACTTTTTTCATTTAAAGACGGATCAGAAAAGAAAAGGAGGCGAAGAAAGTCAAGGGACCAAGTCTACGTGTCCGTTTTACAGAGGTGTCCGTCTTATAGACATGTCCGTTAAGAGATTGGACTATATGGGACATGTGGTGGGTATAAACATGAGAGACTAGCCGTTAGTTTCGAGCGCCGCCATTGTAATTGGTTTCTTCAATTTCTCCCTTGTTATGTTTGGCTAACTACTGAAAATTCAACGATATGCGTGATTTTGATGTTTAAATTTTGGAAAAAATGGAGAATATCGGATTTGGGGGGTTGCTGAAAATAAAAATATGAAGTGGATAATTAGTAGACAAATAACAGATACCACAACAAGGTGCTTCTGATCCCTTTAGCGGACTAACTGGTTTATTCGTATACCTTTTGTATTCTAATTTACTTCCTTCCCAAATCAAAATCAAGTCAAAAACAACTAGAATGCCCCCTTAATACAACGGTATGCTGCAACTAAAGAACTGATTGATCCATTGCCTTTCTGCGAAATTCGCTTGACAGGGAACGCTATTGTTCGACTCGACGTCCTATTAAACGGTCTGCCAATGCCATCACGCGCGAGTTGACCTTTTTTGTTTTACAAACAAAGCCTCAAAATCAACTGTCACACACATCTTTGAATTCGGGCTCTACCTCATGTACAAGACGTATGGAAGTTGAATAAATAATCCAAAGGTTTAGTACATGATAACGTTACATGCCAGTGGTAAGTGGCGGAATCAGATCTGAGATAAGAGGGAGGTCTGTCTGAAAAATAATATGGTATTTCTTGGACAAGGAAATTCATTTTGACCTGAAAGATCAGGTGGGGAGACCCATGTCCCCATTCCCTAGATCCCCCAATGCCCTTGACTTAGCCCTCGTTTAAATCCTAAGATCATTCTGTAGGAGCAATTAGAACCAAAGAAAAAAAAGGAGGGCTTGGAAATATAAATTTGTAATTGGACTCTAACTCTAACTATCCCTACGCAGTTTTCACGTTGCGGATTGCCACTACAAACAACTCACTGTAAGTTTCGCGTTATTATCATGTCCTAATTATTTTATTCGCAGCGAAAAACGGACACACAGATTATCTATTTTATTCTTGTCGGAACTGCTTTAGTAAGAAAGTGTCCATGCTGATCAGTCAGCATCAGTACCTCAACCTCGTTCCCAGGGCTCGTTCCCAGGGTTTTCTTCTGCTCGTCTCCCGCTCCGAAGGACGAGTAGGAGAGGTCCCAGGGAACGAGTTTGTCTTTGGTTCTTTTGTTACTGAAACGTTCTGGGTAGGGCACATTAGAAGTTACAGATTAGATGAAAATTTCCTCCTACACCGCGTCATTTCCGTACGGTATCCCAACAACACCCTCTTCACCTTCTTAGAAGTTAAATTACATAAAGCTGCCAACCTTTCATCCTGCGAGTGCGAGGATTTTTAGTAGACAAACCAAGCATATAAGAAGGCGTTCCAAAGATTACTAACAGAAGACGAATTCGAAGATTTTCGAGATTCTCAATTCGAGCGAATGCCCTTCATTTATTGGTGAAGAATAATTAGGTGAGGGGAGGAGGGGGGACTTAATAGAGAGGGGGGACGCTTATTAACTTTCTTCCCCTGAAAAGGGGGACTTATTAGAGGGACGGGGATTAATAGAGAATTTACGGTAATCTATTTTTTTTTATCTAAATGAATCAGGAGGCAACTGATTTGGCAGTGCCTTTGGTGGCAGTCTAGTGGATTCTAGCTTATTAGAAGACTTAACTTCAGTTAGCTTCCAGTAAATTGGAAACAATGTAGCAGCTCTTGAAACAACTATTTGTTAAAGGCTTAACCGGATACTTAAGTGGCTTTTTATATACTAGGTTGCACAGGTAAACTCACTCTTTCCCTTTAGCTTACAACCAGTTTGTTAGTGACAGCCAAATTATTCAGTCAGCAAGTTTTTGATATATTTTCATTCAAAGTTCCTCTTATCGATAAGATGCTGTTAAAAAGTTGAGTCGTAGGTCTCATTGTCGTATCCGTAGGAAGCAAACCGGCCACGTGATGGTCGTCGTTTCTAGAAAATCAATGTTACAATAATGGTATTATTAATAATAGTATTAATAGTATAATGACTAATAACAATGATATAAAGAAAAAGAAGAAGAAGATGATGATGATGATGATGATGATGAGGAGGAGGAGGAGGAGGAGGAGGAGGAGAAGGAGGAGGAGGAGGAGGTATCTCTTAGATATTAAATATTTTTGTATATTTCTAATATTTGTATTAATAGTTTTCAGGTTATTTATTGTTGTAATGCGCTTTTGATCACCTAGCATGTTAAAAAGCGCACTTTAAATGAATAAATTATTATTATTATTATTATCATATCGCGCTCGCTCACAGATTTTTAAGCAAAAGAGTTACTGCTCTCAGTACTTAATAGCTAATTTAAAAAGATAAGTTTTAAGAGTAGATTTAAAAGTAGAAATACATTTGATGCTGCGGAGGCTAACAGGAAGAGCGTTTCATAGTGTGGGCGCAGCCACACTGAAGGATCTGTCACCAAATGACTTTTTCATTTTTCCTGACGGATGCTTTAATAAAACACCTTCATTAGAGCGCAGCAAATAGCGCGTATTAGTCTTAGTATGAATTAAATCAATGATGTAGCTAGGTGCCATGCCATAGAGGGCTTTGAAAGTAAGTAAAAGAATTTAAAAATTAATTCTATATCTTACTGGTAACCAGTGTAAATTTATCAAAACGGGCGTAATATGGTCATATGTGAATAAAGTAGCGACGAAGCCATGAGCGGCATCGAGTTGGGCGGCCTTCGCCGCTCGTATACTCTCAGATCGAGCTCGCTCACAGATTTTCGAGCAAGAGAGATACTGCTCGCGTCTTTGATGAGGAGGAGCCAGAGGAAGAGCAGAGGGAGGCCAGGAGGAAGAGGAGTAGGAAGGGGAGGCTTATAGGAGGACTGGGCTGTCCAAGATGAAAATATTTTCAAAAGCAACGATTATCAGTTCTCCCCTTACCTTATTCTCATCTCGCTTGTGAGCATATGCTCCGTATCCTAAGGAGCCAATACACAACAGAAATTCCACGCCACTCAACAGGAGTATAATAATGCTGAAGGCTTTGGCTCTAGTCATGTTCTGATCGTGGTAGTTCTCGTACGAATACCAACTGAATGTTCCAGTTTCCTCCCCAGTGCAAGCCGTGTGAACCGCCATACTGTAGCATACAATTAGCAGTATTGACAAGAGGAGACATATCAAGGAAAACAGCAAAAAGTCTGTCAACTAAAAGCAAAATACGTAGTTAAAAAAACCCTTAAAGTTTGTTTCTTGTTTCATTTACTTGTTTTGTTTTGGTTTTGGTTTTTGATCATGAAAAACCAAAACCAAAACAATTCTTGAAGTTCAAGAAGTATTGCTAAATCCTTTGTGCACTTTAATAAGGCTAAGATTGGCAAAAGCAATAACAGATTGCATGAAAGCGAAGAAAAATCATAAATTAAGTGATTGCTATTTCACTGAGAAGAAACAAAAATTTGGTTTTATCTATAATAGTTGCAACTGAATTGATAACTTAAAAACTTGTACGCAAGTTGAGGAGATATAGTAAAGAGTGAGGGAATTAAGGTTACGCAACTCACGTAATATTTTTTGGTGTTATCTGCTTTCTCCATATTTGCGTCAAGGACTCCAATAGCACCAGTAGCTGCAACCTATGACGAATACCTTAAGATTAATGTAATTAATCTAGAAAAGAAAATTTAGAGGTAACTCTCACTGAATAACTGCGGCGATCTCCTCGTTCTTTCTTTTAGATCAAAATTGTAAGATCCCACGCACAAATTAAGGCAAATTGAGGCCCATGCCTTAATTTACCCGAGGGGGTCTAAATCGGTAAGCTATCTAGAGCTGATCTTTCTGCAGACAGTGTACTTATAAGAATACAGGCCCAACCGTCAGCAGTAACAATTGCAGATCTAAATCTTTATAGCAGCTGCAGGTTTGTATAAGATTGTCAGTTACCACAAGTACAAACTGAATTATATAATAACTGCTTTGATGCATTTACGATGATCACGCCTCATCTATCAGTGAAAAGTATGGACGTAAACCAGTTTAGTCTTCTTGAATGATTGATTGGCATCAGTTATGATTATGGCCATAATCGTTAACAATTCTATTATGTTCATTGAAGTGCCGAGTTTATGGCTTAAAACTATTCAAAGTTCAGAATGTAATTAGCGTTCTTCTAAAGGAAAGAAAACGAATTTAATCTGCATGTGAACTAAAAACAAAAGATTTTTACCATCAGTATCTCTCTGACTTTCACTGATCATTAACTGTTGAACTACATGAAACATCAAATGAACGACGTCCTCATCACACAGAATGTGAACTGAACAACAGACCTAAAATCTCTCTACTATGTGTTTCAGTGTTCGCTCGTTAATGAGTTTGGTTCAGTGGCTCCCGCAGAAATATGCACTCACTCATTAATTTTTCGATATGCTTTCTCTAAACTGCTTCGAAGTAAGTAGAAATTAAAATAGGGTATCTTGATCTCTCATGCAGCAGGGACGTTTTCCTGTTTACTAAATAATTCAGATGAGGAACTTTGCATGTGATCAGTTTTACGTCCAAAAATGGACACTTGTCTCAGGGGTGTACATGTAATCCATAATAAAATGATCAAAATTAGACTATGAAACTGCTTATAATAATTAGCACATTCTAGGAACGTTTTTATCCGTATACGGAATCAATAGCACTATATATTTTACCACGAAATCCTAAAGCGTGACCACTTTATGATGATCAAAATTTGTCAGCAAAATCTACAAATTAATTGGGCCAACCTTTCTCCTTTTTTGTTCTTTTCCATAAAGTGAACACGCGCCAAAATGCATGCTGTAAAACTGATATAAATCGTTTTGACTGAAAGAGGTATGAATTGGACTTACAATAACACCGATCCACAGAGCCAACAGCATAACACTTGTCCAATGATCCACAGCAAGTCTAACTACAACTCCCATTACGATCAATAAACCTCCAAGAATGCCATGACACACACCTAAGATCTTTAACACGCCATCAAAATACACAACTGTCTCGTCACGAACACCCATCCTTTGAGAAGAGCTTAGCTACATTCAACCAAGGACTTGTCGAGTGTCCGATGATCTAGAATCACCCCAAAACAAGACGTTTATGATAAACGTATTCAAGATATTAACATACTATCCAATGAGCATGCCTTAGGCTAGTTAGGCTGTCTGCGTGGCGTCGACGTTTAGTAATTACTCTTCCGTTAAGCTACCCCGGCTCTGCATGACTGACTCAAGATATCAGCATAATTATGGAGGCTGTGATGGAGGAATTCGCTGGATATTTTTTTGAGCCTGAATCGAGGATCAAGACTTACTGCATGGTCGTTTATGATAAACGTATTCAAGATATTAACATAATATCCAATGAGCATGCCTTAGGCTAGTTAGGCTGTCTGCGTGGCGTCGACGTTTAGTAATTACTCATCCGTTAAGCTACCCCGGCTCTGCATGACTGACTCAAGATATCAGCATAATTATGGAGGCTGTGATGGAGGTATTCGCTGGATATTTTTTTGGGCCTGAATCGAGGAGCAAGACTTAGTGCATGGTCGTTACCCTTGTAGAAATGGCCGGGCAGCCTTTTGAAACAACAATGACTTCTAGGGCCTTGTAGTATCCGCTTGATATATACGGGGTATCTAGTTCTGATCAAATCAGAACCTGCCTCCTCCTTTTGAGCTGATCGTTTATTCGTACTTTGGATGAGAAAAAGGCGGGCACGAAAACGCGACCCTGATTGGTGACCTGAAAGACTCAACTAGGGACCAGAAGAGAAGCGCACGTTTTCTCCTTCCCTCCTACCTTTGCGTGCAATTTCACATCGAAACAGAGACTTCTGGGAACGTTCATGCAGTCAGCATCAGGTCGATTCACCGGTCGTAGTTGACTCTTCCCTTTCCTTTCTAGCGCTTCAGGGCTCATGCGATCAGTTGTAAGAAACAAACAATTTTAAACTTAAAAGTGAGAATCATTTCTATGTCCCTTTACTTTGTTCAGAAGGATTTCAGTTTCTCTCAGGATATCACAGGAAACTTGGCCGATGGCGGATTAACGACTATCTTGCCAGGCATGCACCACTGCAGAAAATGATTACTACAAAACCACTTTATTCGTTTCAAAGTTGGGCAAAATGTCATAAACAATAACAAACTAAGCCAAAGCATTATTGTTTAATACATCATCATACGTTTAAAAGGAGGAGGGGGGAGTTAATAGAGGATTTACAGTACTTCAGTTCTTTGTTTTGGCATCAGCCATCTCAGATACACCACTTTTAATCAATTAAACGTGATCTAATTATTTTGCTTAATAACAGTATAAAACAAAAAAATAACAATATAATACGTGATGAAATTATTTGATTTGTGGAATGTTCTTACGCAGCTGCATAAATCGCGTTCACAACTGCGAGGATGTTTCGTCATTTGATTTCATTTCCGCAGTTCTTACATACAAGTTATTTCATATACACATTAAGGCATTTGTCACAAAAGCAAAATAACACAACTCAGTTGACATGTCAACTCAACCTAAACCTAACATGCCCAGTTTTGTCGTTTTAAATCAATCCTGTAATGTCAAAATTACCTTACGGTTATAATAAATTTAGTAAATTAAAAGTATTTAAGCTAATAGATTAATAAGGAAATCTTGTATTACGACGTATTTAAGTAAAAAATGCAAATTTTTCAAAGCATGACTGCAGAAATCGGTCACCATAGAAACGTCTCTATTGACGAACGCCTTAAAAAAACTTTTAAAAGGACACCACCTCTCCAATATGGATGATCATTCTCTACCGTGGATTTTTCTAGTTTGAACAAAATAAAACGTCACATTGCCTTGATGACGTCAAAAAGGGGATAAATCAAAGAAAAGTATTCCAAAACTTTTCGTCATAAACTGTAAACTTAGATTGCAAATAACAAAAAAGAAATTAAAAAAACATTTAAATGGAAGATTAACGTAAGCAGAAACGATGAGGAGAAATAGATTTCATCCCTCCATTTTCCTGCTTCGGAAAAGCGTCACATGTCTCAAGATTCCGTCTGCAAAAAGATTTCGCATGTACAGAGTAAGGATCTAAACCTCATCAGTTGACATCTCTTTTCTACTTGAACATGAAACGGCAAATTCACGATCTCGCCCGCAGCCGAGGAGATTTCGAAATTCTTTTCTGAATACAGGATTCATCCCGGCGTAAATAAACGGATTTATTGCGTTGGACAGGTAGAAGAAAAACAAGCAGAGAAGTTCAACACTTCGCGGCATCGTCGCAACGAGCTTGAAGCGCCGTAAGACAACGATAATCCAAAAAGGGATCCAGCATATCATGAATGCAAACACCACTGCGAAGAGAGATTTGCTGATCTTAATCTCATTTGAGCTAATGGACGATGAAGCGTTGATGTTGTGTTGACGGATCACTTTCGCGACCCTTATATAGCTAAAAAGAGTAGCTATGAGCGGGGTTAAAAAAAAGAAAATAAGAACAATACAGTAATGGATCGTTTTTCCTATCTCGCTGAGATGAGCAACGGTGCACTGGGCGTAGCCTGGTACAAATTCGTACGCTTGAAGATCAGCCAGGCGAGGGACTGCTGCGTAGCAAGCAACAGAAAACCAAACGATAGCCAACAACAAAAGTGACTTTTTCGCTGAAAAAAGTCTGTCGTATTGCTGGGTTGACCTGCATATCCTGACGTATCTGTTAACTGCTGTTAAACCCATAGTCACCGGAGAAGTGAAAATGACAAACAGACTGAAGAAGGCGTGAAGTTGGCAGATTGCTTCGCCGAAGATCCATTCGCCAGTAATAAGCACGCCAATACCAATAGGCATTACAAAGACCCCGGAGAGCAGATCAGTCACCGCCAAAGCGATGATATACAGATTGGTTGTTGTGCGTAATCGTACGTTCTTGTAAACGGACATACAAACCAAGATATTTCCTGTTAAGGACAGAACGTTCAAAATTACAAGTGAGGTTACTTCCACGGTGATAAGGAAGGAACTGCGAGAGCTCAGACTGTCCGCCATTATAATAACAAAGATGTCTGCAAGGATAAATGTAGTAAATGTTCAATATACACTGGACTTGTATTATTCAGCAAAGCCAGTTTTGACTGAGGTCATCATTGGTCAATGCGTACTTCGTTATCAGGGCGGTAATCCCAGGTTTATGCAAATAGCTGTCCATTGCTACGCAAAGGCTTTCATTTTCGGCTTTCTTTGACGAGTTTCCAACCGGAAAATGGGAGTCAAAGTAACACCCCGACACCCTACTTTATACGTTGTATCTTTTAAGATCAAAGCACCTGCACTAGTGGGATCTGAGAGTGTTACGTGACTTCGGCCCAACTGGTTGCGAAGTAGACTAAAATCAATAACATCCTATATTTATTTTTTAGTACTTAAAATAGTTTTTCAGTCTTTAGAGGTCTACTGATATGTTAAAAATACTCTAGCTATAATTAACCACCGCTAGGTTTTCGATTGCCTGTCTTCCCCTGATCATTTACTGGTACGCTGTATGTCTTAAATCAAATAAAAACGTGTCTTAAGCGAACGTTTTCGGCTGAAATACAATGCTCAACGCGATGGCTGCTGCAACGTCTATCGGCACGAAGTTTTGTTAGGCCGGTCTCTAAAATACTGCAGAGTTAAAAGGAATGAAATCTAAGAGAGCTACTCGAATTGCAGAGAGGTGTTTTCTAGAGCAAGTGATATAAGCTGCATGTTTTAAATAAAGATGTTCACCAATATAATATAAAAACAGATCCAGAGGTAACTTATTAACAAATACTATGAACTTTTTTTTTTGTACGGACAAATGATAACATTTTTAAAATTAAACAATACACGAGTCGTCAGTTATGGGAACTTTCGTAATTCGTTATCATTTAAGAAGAGCTTGGCCAAGATTTAAAAAACCACTAATTTTCTGCGTGGTTAACTGATCGCAGAAACAAGACTTTGATGAAAGAAAAGAGCATTTTCACATGACGTCACGGCGGCCATATTGGTCTTCCACGACAATAAAACGGCGGACATGTTGGAGTTCCAAAATAGTCTTCTTTTTTAAGCAAACCGGCTTTCTTTTGTTCCGGTAAATTTTCATAGATGCTGGTCACGGCGTGAAAACGCTCCATACGAGTTATTAAACAACATAGGCACGTTCAACGTGCATGAGCTATTTTGAATGCTTCAGTGTAACTATAATACTTCGGTGTAACCTTACCAAGAGTGATGAATCTACCTTTTTCATCCTAAATGTAGATTTGGTTTTTGTGCGAAATTGGGTATTGCGCTACGTAAATGAAAACGCGAAACGCTCAGCTGAGTCGATCCTCAACCTATGTATTCACTTTCCTCTGTCTTTCCCAGTTACATCTGGTGCAAGTTAAACAAATTGCTAAAGTAAAATAAATTTCTACTCACCAAACGTTGATTAGAAGGAAAACTCTAAGGTTTCCTCGGAGTTTCTTAAGCCAAAATGTGACTCATCGAATACTGAATAGTTACGAAATACCAGGATTTTTATCATTGAGGTAGATGGTTGCGTCATCATAATTCACGAGGTTTCCACGTGCGATTCTACTCAGTGAAACAGTCTTTAACTCCGACAACTTATTTCTTCACGTTTTAAAAGCTATTGCTTCTTAAAAGGCAAGAGCCTTTTTTAAGGCATTGGTTACAAAACGAAACAGGTCTTCATACGTCCAAGTTACTATTTATCATTGTGAAAAGCCAATCTGCATGAGATGTACAGTCACACAGCTGGCACGTGAAAGTGTTGGACTTTGTCCCCTTTCGTGGTTCGTACGTGAGGGAATTCGAGTTATCACACAGTAATCGAGTAAACAGAATTATAAAAATAACTCATGCACACGATTTGCATGTGAAGATGTTGGTCTTTGGCCCTTTTACAATTCGTACTTTAAAGAAACGCAAATTGTTTACTACAAAATTTTCTCAAGCGATTTTAAGAAATCACTCGGCCTTATTACAACATCTGC